TTAACATGGTTTAATGTTTAACCTGACGTAATTACGTCGCAGTTGCGGTCTGAAAACGTGTGGGTTGCATCTTAAACACGATTTGGAAGCGTTCGGACACAGCATGTTTGGCACAAAATTTGTAACGCATCAGGAACGAGAAGGAAGTTAAGGAACGTAATTCCAGAACATATTAAAAAAAAAAAAATTCGCACTCCCCGCAACCGCGCGAAATTCCTTGCCACACGAGATTGGGACGAGCCAAAACGTCCTCACAAATCCGCCATTTTGTGGGGACAAAATTTTTACTGAGAAACGATAGGAGTTTGCATTCTATGTCTATTATTTATATGGTTATCATTTAAGATTAGATTCGATGCTGGGTTTTTTCAGCAAGTAAAATCCGATTTAACCTGAGCACTACAAATTGTCCTACATTGCAGAGGGCATCAAACAACATATTACCTTATTTTGGTTGAACAACCGCTGGTCATACATAGCTTCTTGAGACTGTGAGCCTCCACCCGCCATTCCCAAAGCAATCTTTTCTGTGACGTCACGTTCCCGATCACGTTGAAGTTTCGACCTGAAGAAAATACCATCAGATCAGAGTAGGACGAAATCAGAGCGATAAAAAATTCAAAATTTTGGAAAGTGTCTTTCGCATACTTCATCATCAATGTTAATATTGTCTGCAGTTTCGTATTGTTAGCGTTGTACAGAAAATATATGTTCCCTAAGTTCCTAACCCTAGATTCAGTTTAGCTAGCGGGATGACTTTGGTACGGTACAATAGTCAGAGCAATTTTTCAAGAAATGACACTTCTGTATAACCGAAACGAAATCGTCCAGAAACAACAGCCATGATTTAAACTGCAACAGTGTGCAGTCACGCGGGAATATTACGTCATGCCACGCTTGAGAAAATTCTCCAGAAAATTGCCGTTCTGAATTTGTATTAAGCATGTTTAATAAAGGCGATAGACAGCAGCTCTATACCGAAGCAAACATGCGAAACTTTGACGGCTCATTGACTCCGAGAATGTTTTTATTTAACATTAAGCATTTGCCACTCAAAATGGCGGATTTCAAACAATTACGTGGAATCATGTGTTGTGACATCACGTCTGAATACATCTGGGGCCGGTTGTATCAAGCCCGTTTAGCTTAAACGGTGGTTAAGCTCAAAATAGAAAGCAAGTCTATAGATTCATTAAACAACCAAACTAAAAGTTTTGAACCTTAATAGAACGATAATGTTTACAACTATATATTCAGTGCAGAATATTTAAGTTGACTGATTCACGAAAGATATAAGAGTGTTATTTAATTTTGACTTATCCACCGTTTAAGCTAAACGGGCTTGATACAACCGGCCCCTGGTTAGCTTACCTTTTATCAGGTGCGGCTTTAGCAATTCTTCGTTCTTTTTCTCGATCTTTATGTCTTTCATATCGCATTTGGTCGCGTTCCTTTTCATCATGAGATTTATCGGATGCATTCTGTATTCCAGCCCTGGCGTCGCGAGCTTTTTGCGCCAATTTCCTTAACTTGTCTTCCTGTTTTTCCTTCTCTCGTTGAGCGACTTTCTTTTCTAACTGTGCACGCATTTCTACCGCCTCACGAGCCTAAATAAGTAATTGAAACAAAACTTATTTTCCTCATGCTATTTTTCATTGCATTCCCATTAACGTTAAGCGTTTTTGTATACCTACTAGCGAGCAAGCGACGTTTCAATTGTCAACTCGGACATCAACCGAAAATCGGTATAACTAATTTTGGCGGGATTCTGTGGCATCACAGCGCTCGTGTAAAGAAGCAAAAAACCTTAGAAATCTTATGTTTTGTCATGTGTTGGAGACAGGGCTCGAATTTTATCGCGGCAATTGCTGTAGAGGGAGAACAAAATGCCGTGGATCATTGCGGCAACGACGGCAATTTTTTGCAGTGTAGTATAATTTTTGCACTATTCACTACAGGTGCATTACTATTTAGACACTTGAATTCAGATGTTGATCAAATCATGCATAAACTACTATTTTAGTCTGAGTTTTCTGCGAAAAGAAAACACTAAAGAAATACGTAAACATGTTTCCAGCTTGTCGACAATCCAAATAATAATAAAATTGAATTTTTACTACAGTAATTTCAAAAAATGCCGTGGAAACTGCCAAAATTGCCGTAGACAGCTGTTATGTTCTACGGTAATTTTTAACGCCATTGCCGTCGATTGACTTCAGGGAAATTCGAGGCCTGGTTGGAGATTACCACAAACTGATACAAACACAATTCTTAGTCCAGTCCCCCCTCGGCAATCTGATGTCCTTGTTGACAAAAACGTCACTTAAGCTCCCTACTGTCATACGTAAATGTTTTTAGCCATTTCAATCCGAGTTATGGTAAGTACACAGTTTACAATACACATAGTATATTATATTCTCCCTAGTACCTTTCTGTCAGCTATATACAAAGCTTCAGCCAGTTTCGCAAATTTGTCATTGATATGCGGGTCTTGAAGTCCTCGACCATCAGCTGCTAATCTTTTATCCAGCGGGATGGTGTAACCCTGGAAGAGAATTATTGTGTTTTTAAAAATATAATCACATGAACTATATGCCTGTGAGTGATGTTTTAAAATGCAGTAAGCTTGAATTCTAAGTACCTTAGCATTTTTCCAGTTTGAAATGCATGGCGGAATTTTCCAATCTTGCTGTTCTTTCACTGTTACCTGAAACAAAAACAATTACATATATAAGAAAACGTCAATGGAGTAAAGTTACTAAAGGAAGAAGAAACACATGAATATATATCATGTAGGACTGGTACCTTTCTGTTTGGTGAATGCATAACTGGCGCTGGTGGTGATGGTGGTCCACGTGGGATTTTCTTGTTCGTTCTGAAGAAAAAGGATCCAAATAAACATTATAAATTTACAATATACATTTCTTGTACTTTATATATAGTAGCAGGTACAATATTTCTTGTTTCCCTGATTCTAGAGTAATGTTATATAGAAATATTAGACATGCACTTGAGGTATGTAAGGACTGCATTCCAACAGTACCCTCATTTGCATCTACGCTTAAACAGTCACAGATTAAAACATGTTTTCTCAAGTGAAACTTCAATGTTTGGAATCAGCATTTGATGGTTTCAATTAGGTCAGGCAATGAGATCCAGGGTAGTTGAAAAATTGAAAATATACAAATGTGCTTCTTTTCTTTCTGCAGCTATTTATCCTCAGATAAAAATCACAGTATTTTGACATTAATTGTTAAACTTTCAAAATATTCAATAATAATAATAATAAGCGTTGTTTCCATACTTAAATCTAGGTGGTTCCATTGGATCCTTCTGAGTCTCAACCATACGAATGACTCGCTGTTTTGCACCAGAATTGAAGGACAGTCCTTGCTGTGATGGTGTATATCGAATATACTGAGCGCCTCCTTGTTGTGGCGGCACATGAGTTGGTTGTGCCGCGGCTACTTTTGATGCAACTTCTTTTTCTAGAGCCAACCGTGTCTTCTCTGTAACCTAGGAGGAAGATGCACATATTAGATATGGGCACTGCTCTTTGTGTTGGGGTGGGGGTAAACTAGGCACATCTGGCAGGGAGTATGATTTCAGGGGGGGGGGGGACAGAAAGGGGTCAAATGCTAAATTTTGCAAGGGGGTGCAATTCTGAATTGTTGAGGGATGCAACCTGATCAAGTCTTCGAGAGGTTGACATTATAAAATCCAAATAATTAAAGTTTCCATAACATAAAGTGCATCAGATACCTCAGCTATCTCGTCATCATCAGGACGTTGTAACTCTGGATCGTCTTCTTTGCTGATTTGTGCTGGAATCAAGTCTTGGAACCGTGAGTGGATCACCTTAAATAACAATGAAACAATATTGGATGGTGAAACAGGCACTATCTGGTTGTGGTTATCTATTTTGGGTTGAAAAGATGGAAAAAATCTGCCTTACTCTGTCTTTAGAATGTCCTTGTCGTACAAGAGCATCATATTTAACTCTTCCTTCAGAATCTAACTTGACAGGAAGGGAAGAAGAAGAGGATCCCTGTAAAAAAGAACACAATCTAGAGCACAACTGTATAATGTACCTTCTGTCCGCCAAAAACTTTTTCTATGACAAGTTTTCGTACGGCAAGTTTTATTTGCAAATACATCCTTCCAGAAAGTATGTCACTTTGGATACAGAGCCTCATTTTCATGTACGTGACATCTCAATCACGAAAACAAGGCCCTATGGCCAACATGACATACTTTCCAGAAGGGTACATTGCATGTGTGTATGTACAAGGTATGTACAAGTACATACAACACATTTTCTACGACAAATTTTTAAGCTACTACAACTGCACCTGATATATCCAGCATGATCTGGTATTCTGCTAGCTCTGGTGCCGAGTTGTGTCGGACCATCGGTCATGTGTGCCACCCACCCATCAACATACTGTATTTGAATTATTGTTGTTCACAGTTTGCTTTTCATCATGTTATTACTCAAATTACTGTATCTCATTTTGTCTCTAATATTGTTTGCTTTGTCATGAAAAATAGCACCCCCTCTGGCCAGGGTTAGGGAGGGGGGTGCACACCTCCACCTCACTGACCAATGCTAACTTTTGAACAAGTTGCATTTGTCTGCCCATAGACAGGTTAACATTGCTTTTCGCCCAACATGTGTTTGCCTGCCAATATGCGCACACATGCCATTTTGTATGCTTTAGCACTCTCGAGTTGTGCTGTTACGTCACAAGACTATTCAAAATTACATGTCTGTGCATACTGGCAGGCAAATTTACCTTTTTACGTTTACCTGTCTATACACACAAGCAAATATATTTTATTTAATTTTATATAAATAAATAATAATTGGCTTTTATTTGTATGTATTTCAGTATTTGAAAAAAAAACACAACATAAATAAATTGACCATAACAGAAAATAAACCTTGTTTCTATTTTTTCCCATATCCAATGGAAACTGAGCAACATGAACTTCTGGAAAAGCGCCCCCATCTCCAAAATCCTAAAAATAACACACGTTGACTTATATCAAACTTTTAATATTTTCTCAATATGTGTTGGGAAAATCAAAATATGAAAATACCTCTTGCGATCTGGGGATCCAGTTTCTCCTCAGCCCATAAGGCGGAGGTTGTCTTTTAGGTACGGCTACTGTTGTTAACTAGATCAACACAAAACACAGAAATTATAACTCATGATGAACAATTGGAAAATATGGAATAAAATTTCTGAATTTCGACCAACGACTAACTTACTTTGCTATATGCCCGCTCTAAATCATCATCATTTGCTTCCTGATAGGGCCTGTGGGCCGGGGCGGGAAGTAAACTAAAAAAGAGAAAGCATAAATTGAAGATCGGGGCTAAAATTTGAGAAAAAATAAACGAAAATAAACTGAGTACTTTGACCAAAACACTAACCTCGCGAGCGACATGTTGAATCTTTGATTTTCATGCAATGCATGACGGGGCATTTCTGTATTTCCGCGTCAATCTGATGGAAGACTGGGACGAGAACTGCAAGTTTTACACCCAATCTCGTTCCTGAGCCTGCGATCCTCGGGAAGGAACGCGAGGCTCTGGGATAATCCGTTTCAGGGAGGAATCTGATTGGCCGTTGAAATGGATGCGTAGTTCAATCTTAGCCAGAATTCCTGGCTTCCGGCAACGGATTATCCCAGAGCCTCGCGTTCCTCCCGAGGATCGCAGGCTCAGGGAACGAGATTGGTTTTACACATTCCAGCCTCCTACGGTCCTACCATCCTCGTTCCCAGGGCCTCTTGGACGAGAATGGCCTCCTATTGACTATTATACCATATATTATACCATGCCACACGACACAATAACATACAGACCATGTGAGGTACCACACCATACCAAAAACTTAACAGCAAACTGACCTGACGTCATTTTCGGAAGATAGAAGAGGTATTAAATGGCTATGTAACTAACCCAAACCCTACCCCTAACCCCTGACTCTAACCTCAACCCTAACCCTAACCCTAACCCTAACCGAATTAATAAAAAAAATCCAAAAAGAAACGACTTTAGAAAATCGATAGGGCGGTTTGCTGGATGGAAAAAAGCGCTAACCGAATACAACCTTCCGGAAAGTACTCAGCCTTGGCTATAGAGGCTAGAGCCTCGTTTTCGCGATTGAGCGTTTTCGCGATTGAGATCTCGGCTTTGGAGCCCCTTATCTTATTACTGTTGTAGATATTAACGAAACGGTCTTTTAGATTATATATTGTCACTGTATGATTTCGTAAATGTGTCACCTGCAACAGGATAACAGACTCTAAATCCAATATCTCAATTTAATCACGAAAACGAGTGGCGAACAATATCAATTTCAAATAAAATATATCTTGTTTATTTTTCAAATTCTACCTATTTACACATTTTTAGTTAATTAAAACTGTTTTGTCAATGCACAACGTTACTCTTAGAATTTTTAGGTAAATTTTACAATAACTGAATTTCATTAAGTAAACACCAATTCGGAATTTTATCCCTGTGTATCCATTAGAGAAGGGATTAAAAATGCCCGACTTTCGTTGACTGTATCACACGTCAAAACCAGTTACTTCTGCTGAACTTTATAAATGCCGGAGTTCTGCATGGAATCTGGACGTTGGCTACTGAATCAGGGTACTTTGTCACGATACTGTATCTCCTAGAATTCTACACAACAGTGGCGTGCTGGCAGGAGGTGAGGGATTTTAGGGGGGGGGGGGCAAAAGCAGGATTTTAGGGGAATAGGGGGTGCCTTAACTGCATGAAATGAAACCAAGATTTAATATTGTCAATTCGACTTAAAAATCGGACAAATGGGTGCAGGAACGGTCTTATAAAGGATGTTTGGAAAATTTCCCTCTCCCCTCGACACAAATGTTGGGAATTATATAACGGTGGGCGCCAAATTTTCAGCTGGCAGGAGCCAGCACGCCACTGGTCCAGAACATATGCACAGATCTTGGTAAACCCTGCTAACACTGCCATACCTGAATTGAAAATAAGAGAAAATTATGATAATACATTTAAATACCTGAGTATTAAACTAAAACTTAACTTTATTTACACTGGATAGCTCCATCAGTTCTAAACTTACTGGTGGTCCAGTAAGGACTGTCTTACATGGGTTTAATATTTACCATTGCAAGAACAAACCTAAACCAAGCTAACTTTATTTATACTGGAGTCCCCGGAAAAAAACTGCGACGTTTTCACAATGTTTTCACAGATACTTGCCTTGACCGTACTGTCCATAGCTCCTGAGAATATCCTTCCTTTCGACACTGCAAGCGCCGACACACTTCCTTGATGACGTAATAACGTCTGGACACAAGCCAAACTTTCTAAATTCCAGACCTGAAAAAGTTGATTAGGAAATAAAATAACTTTGTTGGAGAAAACCTGTCGTGCTTTGTAGAGTGAAAATAGAAAGCACTCTTCTCGCACTGTGAGAAATTATAAAGAGCAAGTGCATATTGCAGACATCAAACCCCGGCTTACCCTCAAAGAGCGGTCATATGACGCGCTGAAAAGTCTTGTTTGCCCAGGCGAACTCAGCACTGTCAAAGCGTAAACTGTTCCAACATGACCTAAAATGAAAATCAGAAAGTTCAAGCACCGGTTAAACCAGAATGAGAGTTGATGAGAGTTTAAAGTTAAACACGAGCGAGAGTTGCAGCTCTCATCCTCGTTTGATCGAGGTTTTATAATCGCCGTCATTCGCGATGCCTTACCGTTTAATGTCGTCAGCAGCTTGTAATTGTTGAGATCCCAAACCTAGAAATAAAAGACCGAAGTAAAAGAACAAGCACCTGAGGAGCTGTGTTGTCATAACGGGTATGCACACTTACTATAATGGAGTTTTCATAAGTGCCACAAATGATGTGTTCTTTAGTGACAGCCAATGAATACACGCTACCACCCGTGGCTTCGAGAACATGAACACATTCCAGAGTGTTCAAGTCCCAAATCTAAACAAAAGAATAAGAATCGTCCATACACATTCAAGTGCGTATGATTTTCTGAGGGTATAGGAAATGGAAAAGTAAAATCTAAATTTCTTTAAGGACTGTTTACACGATACGACTAGTCGTATACGATTCTTATCCTGGCGTATTTACTTGAATATGTGCGTGCAAAGATGTCACATTTCAAATTTCGCCATAAACTGATGAAGAGGAATAGTGGCGTCTTCAGATGATTCCCAATATAAAGTTGTCTACACGCGTAAAAACGCTCAGATTGATGCAGTACTGATGAAAACAGGATTGAACAATGCTTTGCTGCCCACATTGTTCACAGTTGTCAACAATATTGAACAATACTGTTACACCCGATTCAGGCTCAACAATATTGTTCAATATTGTTGACAAGTGTGAACAACGTGGGCAGCAAAACATTGTTCAATCCTGTTGAGCAGCGGGCTCAGTGTTTTCTTGCCGTGTAGTGATTATAATTTCTTGTCAGCGGCATGAATGGTTCGAGATTGACGCCACTTGAGATTTTTAGCGGGCATTCCGTCTGCAGTAACCCTGCACACTAAGGGATGGTCCTTAATATTGGTCTTCTAGGAAGACCAGTGTATAACTGATAGAGTTATCCAGTAGAGTTAAAATTAGTTTAGTATATGTTCTTGAACCACTACGTAGAATGCAAGTGTTGCTACCTTGATTGTTTGATATGATCCGCTGTACAAATAATTCTCGGACGCAACCAATGCTCGTACCCAGTGATTAAGTTCAGTTAACTCGTTCATTTGTTTGAGTGTTTCCAAATCCCATACCTAGACAAATCACACACTTAGCACACGAGTACAAGGATCAATGATTATTGGAATGATAGACTCGCATACATTCTGCATTCATTTTGCTGTTCATGACACATTAAGCCGAAAAAATAAAGAGCTATGCCAAGATCAAACAAACCCAGTCTAAACCTATAGCACTTTTACTCGGCTGGTTTTCACAGGTTTGGTCAATTTTGGGCTAGCATTTGGTAAGTATGACGTCACATGCGAACGGAAGTCCTCTCTGAATGTGAAAAAGCGCTGCAATTAAAAGTAGAAGGCCTGGGTCTAGGCTGAAACAAACCTTAATCTTCTTCAAGGATCCACTAAACAACATATTTTTCTTCGTCACTAAAGTGCACACTGGGTTCACATGACCTCGAATCTTGTCAACAAATTCCAGGGTGGAACAATCCCAAATCTGAAAAAAAAAGTTAGAACTGAAATATGTGTATTCTAGTAGTACACGCGTATATATGGACGCAAAAATATCAAAAGGAAAAGAAAGGTTAAGAAAACTTACGTTTATTGTGCAATCAGATGATCCGCTGTACAACCGTTTTCTACAAGAAACCGTCAAGATGTGTTATATGCAGAAAGTAAGTTCTTTACTCTGAATTAACTCATTGCTCTGAAGATCTTACCCGTCAGAACATAACGTTAACACGATGCCCGCATGCCCGTCCATTGTTTTCACACAGTTGTACGTACTTTGAGTATCCCAGACCTACAGGCAAATGAAACAATTCCTGGTCAGGCACTTTCCTTTCACACTTAAACACTGCTTTACATTATCAAAGTTTCTGTGATCACAGTGGAAATTTTGCATAGGTTTGTAAGTTTTGAAGGATTTGTAAGAACTTCAAAACTTAGAATTTACATATGCAAAATTCCTACTGTGATCACAGAAACTTCGATAGTGTAAACACTAAACAATCTCTTTTCACTCGCCTTAATTGTTTTGTCAGACGATCCACTGTACAGCCATTCGCCATTGGAGACACACAATGCCCATATCGGGCCCTAAAATAAATTTTAAAAAGTGAAATAGACGTCATGAAAATTGCCAGTGGTAGATCACGATATTCTAGTTAGTACCAGAGTTCTGCTTATCAGGCGGTAACCGGTAAAATTTGCCGTACATAAATAAATAGACAGTGCAGTACTGACTACGGAGTAATTAAATAACTTTTTAAGCTTTTTTACTTTTTTTGCGGTAAAAAGCCTGTTCAAAAACCTGTTTTACCTGCCCCACTCACAACTGTGGAGAAACCTGTACGCTGTAGTGCAGGTAAAGCTCTCTGTGAATTCGTCTCGCAAGTACGTGATTATCACAGTATTCATTGACGATATATGTGAATTCCACTAACCTGATGGCCAACAAACGTCCCTCGGCATTTGAACAACGGATAAATGTCGAATGCTGGAAACGGACGTCATTGTGAGTGAATTGATTATTTTCATGCAGACGAATAGGGGTGTACAATTAAAAATTTTCAAGAAATATGCGAATGACTTACACCCAGCTCCCCATAATCTCACTTCAACATCAGAAATGTCATCCTTTAAAGTGAAAAATGTTATGTATCACTTTTAAAAAAAAAGTTTCGACACCTTACACTTATTAATCCCTCCTACTGTAGTTACAAATTTCCCTCAAAATATGTAATTCATAACTGCCTCGTTGTTCAAAACCACTTCGAAATATTCGTGCGAATTCATCTTTAAATTTTAATTTTAAACTGTTTTGAAATTATTTTCGTGTTTTCTTGAATGTGTTCCACGTTATGGAGGCAACGTTCCAGTCGTCATACTATACCTTTAGTTTCGTCATGGCTCGTCTTGTTTCCATGATTTCTGAAGATAGTTTTGTGTGGCCTTCGTCAAGAAAATCTGTAAAAATGTGTAAGAAAAACACGAACAGAAGTCAATTAGAAATTACATCATCGCTGTTTCTATTTGTTCGTGATTGTTCTTACCCAGTCGAATGTCGACAGTTTTCTCCACACGTTCAATTCTTTCTGTCATTTTCACCAACATTGATCTGAGAAACGTCATTTCCTGAAATTAAAAGCATTTTACATTAGAACAGTTTAGTGCTATTGTAATTAGAGGGAGAATTAGAGTTATGCAGTAGAAACAGAGTAAGTGCAGCTTCACACCTGATCCTTGTTTTTTAATTCGGTTTGTAATTCTTCAATTTGATCTGCTGAATGTTGGAGAAATTCCTTCATTGGTTCAAACTTGCACGTATTTAAATGTTCTTTGACTTCTGTATCTGTCCCTTCGAACTGACATCTAAACAAGTATAGAGAAAAGAGTCTGGGTACAAGATTGAGAAAGCTTGTGTTCATGTCATTTATCTATAAATTGAACAGAGATTCAGAGAATACACCTCAACATTTATTGCAAGTTCGCCCTAATGACCTCGTTTCATGTGGGTTACTGTATATAATGTTTGATATCTTACCCATATTTAAAATGCATGCACTTGATGTGCTCACACTGTTCCAAGTGTTCATCAAGATTCTAATTAAAACACATTTAATGCATGAAAGTCACTTTAAATATGCAATGTCATTAGTTACATTTAATTACTTTGCAAAGATTACAGTTCTCACAGAAAATTAAAACATACCATTTTCAGAACAGCTGGACAAAGAATGCTGTTGGGACATTGCATTGGAGCATATTGACAAGTCTGCTCATGTTCACTATGAAAGAAATTGATTAAAACTTAATCCTGACTTTCACTTATGGGAGAACATCATAGAGTAAATTATATTTGTATAGTGACACTTACTGTCTTGAATTTAATTTGACTTTGACAGGGCAGCCTGAAAAATATTGACAGTTATTTTAAAATCATTGTAATGTACAGTCAGTTTGCTTTGTTAAGTCTTCAGGTTTCAGCTTTTTACCTGCAGAATTGACTTCATATTTTCCTTCCTCAGTGGCAGAAGGCATGCATCCATATTTACAGTGTACAAGAAGCTCACCAATCTGTTCTAACACCTGGATGTGAGGAAACACATTGCTTGATTTATACTGCAAATGTAGTGTCTACTTGGAAATCTTAGTGTAGTTTAATTTATTGAGTTGCTCACACAATGAGCAGATTTCCCAACAGGGAAAGATGTGAAAGTCTATAACCAGTTACTGATGTATGGGGTGGCACGTTCTCCTCAATTATATTAAGACCTTGAGTAGAGGTCCAACCAAGGATTGAACGCAGTAGTATTCCACTCAAATACAAAATCAAGTGCTTTTAAAATGGTGTAGAAATACAAAACATTTCATTTTCCAGCATGAAAGGCAAGCGTGGTGACCACAACACTTGATAGATGATGATAACTCGATCACTTATAATAAGTTTGCTTGCCAATGTTTAACACAAACAAATAATCAGATGAACTACAGTATATTAAGTTTCCAAATTGATCCAGATAGATGTTCTGTATTGGTGTGTTTGTATTAAGCTGCTGGGATCATCTGCCAGACAGATGGTGTGTCTTGATGGATGATCCTAGTATAAATCAGGCTTCAAACTCTTGCACAAAGCATTAACAAAGATTTCAGCTTGTCTTACCGCCAAGTTTGAAACAACAACAACCAAGCTGCTGTTATCTACAGGACAATGCTCCAACTTGCGCAGTAAAACACAGCTTCGACAGAACGAGTGCTAAAAAATGATAAAGTGCTCATCAAACAAGCTGTAAATATGTACATGCATGATCTTGACAGTGAATGTTGTTTATATGTTTATAATCTTGACCTTCTAGACTAGACGCAGAACATACTTCTAAACTGTTCAAAACATACAATGAACAATTAATAGATTTATGACTTTTTACGATACTTACTCCACATGATGTAATAACAGGATCATGAAACACATCTGAACATATCATACAAAATAATTTCTCAGATGGCTTGTCAGCAAAGACAACAATCTCCTGCTAAAAAAGATATTGAGCTCAGCAAAGGGCAGAGAAATTGCTCCAGTTGAGTTCCAGTATCATAAATGAGAGGTGTAAAACTCAAGAAATCAACCGTCATTAAAATTTCAATACCTTGTGTCCTTTATCACTGTCAGAATTACTAAGATTGCTTGTTAGTGACGGATAAGATGAGCATGCTGACACATTGGAATGTCGTCTTGGACGCCACATTGAATCTTCAGTGAATGACTGTCGGTTCTATATGTACCAAGAGGAAAACAAGAGAAGACCATTGAAAATACTTTTTATTTGTTTTTAGTTAATGGATAAAAACTAACAAAATACATATTAGGGGTCACATCCATATTCATGTTGCCACAAATAACGTCCAATCAACGTTATGAGTGGGTCGGTTTTTATGTGAACTTATCGATGTTATCTTGTGGCAATTTGACAATTATAATGTCCAAAGTATATGAAAGTTAAAATATGACTGAATATCGATCGACTTTATCTGGAGTGGGTGGGTGGGTGAAGAAATAACGTCGATTCTATGTTATTTGCGGCAACATGAATACGGACATGGCCCCTTAATTGGATGGTGGTCTGACTCTCCCAAATTCTTTGGGTTTTCTTCTGGTTTGTTCCATCAGTAAATACAGCATTAAGAAGTAATGCATGGGCTTCTACGGAAACATTATGCTAGTTAGGTTTTAGGTGAGTTACAAAGTCACTGGCCCAAACCTTTTCTGAGCCTGGTGGAGAGTGAAATTCTCCATCTTGAAAGCTTCTTCCTCTTGCACGGACCCCTGTAGGTGCTGAATTTGCACCAAAAGTTGTTTCCATTGTTGTCTGAAATCATGTTAAATATAAAATAAAAGTGAAATGTATAATGTAAGCAATATATAGACATATTTAATATCTTAATTTTTAGCTTTTTGAAATTAAAGCAAAGTAAGTTTCTGCAACATTGTAATCAACTTTCTACCCCATTTGCTAGTTCCAATTCTTGAACAAAGTTAGCCTGTGTGTACATGTGGCAGGCGCAGTGGCGTGCTGGGTACTAATTTTCTGGGGGGGCCAGTGGGCTTTCAACTAATATGCGCCCCTATATTGTAACGCTTGATAAACGAGTGTCGAAGGCACGAGCCGAGCGCCGCATGTGCGAGGTTTCTCTAGGGGGGTCTGGGGGCATGCCCCCTCGGAAAATTTTTGAATTTAGGGTCTCTGAAATGCCATTTCCTGGACTTTGAGGGGAAGGTTTGACAGAAATCTGATGGTCAGGAAACGGCATTATAACGTGTTGAAATTTGCAATTTGGTTAGAATTTAGTAGTAGTACTTAAATTGGGCAATGCTAACTCAGTTCCAGCGATTAATCTAATCCCAATTCTATTCTCTACTGATCTCGTGATCTGAATACATTTACAACATACAGCTCTTTTATACAATAACACACGGACCCTACGCATATGCACTTTGACTGCCAAAAGGGCGCGTTTTAGCATTATCTTATCACTTACATTACTCATGAGTCATGATGTTTCTTGCACAAACAACTAAATTGCGTACACAACTTACATTATCATAACTATCTAATTTGCGCCGCTCTCGTGATTCGTGAAGCATAATACCTTCATAATATAAGGGCATAATACCAGCAAAAAAGACATAATTCCCGTGATCGCTTCGAAACCTGACCAATATTCCGGTAATGAGACATTGTGTGTGATCACTGATCATGTTTCTATATCAACGATTTTGTGTGAGCTGTGAAGTATAGCAAATTAGCCAATACGGTTAGACCAAATAGTCTGTAATTTAATAGATCTCTTTGTCGTCTATGCGCTTAGTCTCGATCTGTTTATAAGCCTATATAAATATATACTTCTTGACGAAAGTAACTATATTTTTTCAAATGCGTTTTTTCCCACCCACTTTCAAAATTCCGCACAGGACGGCGCCCCCTCTTCATTTTTGCGCCCCCCAAGAATTGCCAGCAGGGGGGGCCGTGGCCCCCCGGCCCCCCCTGCCAGCACGCCACTGGGCAGGCGTTTAGTGCTAGAACAAAGTCTGTGATTCTGTGATAGTGATCCCACACACAAATCAAAATGATTTTAAGAAGGCTGTTTTCCATTTCAACTGAAAAATAAAGTAATATAGCATAGGCATAGCATCAGCCCCCCAATATAAAATGGCTTCCTACGGTAGTGATTAGAACACAAAATCATTAGGCAACAAAGAAAATTATTCACTAAGTTTCCAATTAACAATACTGTTGAAGGGGACAGTCTAAACACTTTCCCAAACCCAAGTATAATCACAGAAAACATATGCAGTCAAAAAACATGATGTACCATGCTGAATTACCAAATTACATCCAAAACATGCCATTAAATATTTGCATTACTTGGGTGCACGGTGAAGTACCCTTCAAATCATATCAATATAAAATATCTTATGTCGATATATACATCAAATGTGTAACCAGTCCAAAAAACTTCTTATCAATATATTAGTATATTACCGAATAGGTTGATCGCTTTTTCGATTCTTCTAAATCCATGATTATTTCACTTTCTTGAAATCATTCTATTTGAAGTTCATCGTTACCGGAAATATGGTTCTGTAGTCACACGTCCTACGCACTCCGACAGCATCCCAACACTTGTGCAAATTATAAAAGATCACATTTTGATCAACTATTTTGTTGATTTCACTGAATTTAGCACAAAGACGTGTATAAAGACGTGTTTTAAAACATAAACAACACTTCCATACCTCTTATCTTGCTCAAATACAACACCAAGTGCTTTTAAAACGGTGTAGAAATACAAAACATTTTATTTTCCAGTATGAAAATTAGAAAATATCCTGTGTTCTCAAATAGAACACTGAACTATATATATATGATACTGGAGAGCTGGAGAGAGTAGTTTTTACACTGAGCTACTTAAAAATACTGGAGTTATAGATTAATGTTTAGGAAAGATTTAAGACTAGAATATAGGGACTGTTCTATTTGTAGGTATGGGGCTTCGTCAGAGCAAACGCCTTTCAAGCGAGGGGGTAGCGAATCTTCAAGTTAAGCCCCGACCACATCCAATTGACCTAAACCACGCCCATTCCACACCATTTCCATTAGGTACTTCGAGTTAAGACCTCTAGAAAATAGGGGCGTAACTCGACCAAAAGTCAAAAAATTTGTTCTTCGATACAATATTCATTATTTTTAGTATATAATGTATAATTCAGTAACAATTAATTAACATAAATGTTTTATTTGCGCCAGAAACGATCGGGATGTGTGTCAGCGACAATTTAGTCAATTTACATGGTGGAAAATAAATGTTTTTCAAACATAACAAGTAGTAGAGCTTATATATAAATCATTATATTTACATTAGATCAAGTAAAAATCCCTTAACCAACCATTATAACAGTAAGCGGTACCACCAGTTTGGTGGTTGGGTGTAGGTAAAAGACGGACGGGCGGCGGACGACGGAGCAACTAATTATAATACCCTAAATTAAAGTATACCAGCCTAGCTTAGATCTGTGAAATGAATATGTTTTCATCACCCGTTCGAATTTTTAGTAATGGAATTTTTTAATCAGCATTGAAATGATTAAATACGTATGTATGATGATGCTATACGCCGTCTTTCTCGGGAAACGTTTGGAAATATTGTAAACAATATTGAAATCTAGAGTCCCTGAAATGCGATTTCAAGCATTTTGGGGCGAAATCTTGCAGAATTCCGAAGATTATAAACTACATCGAAGGCATTAATTTTCCCAGACATTTCTACTCGGAATTAACTCGAAGCACCTGAAGGCCGCTCTCCGGTTATGCGTTCATACGTGCGTATATGCACGGAAAAGTTTAAATCTTTTTCAATTTAACACTAGTATGAATTACCTGTACAAATGCACATTAAATCATTCACAAAACTATATGCCTTCCTTTTATTTATTCAGTTATTTCATAAGTAACATTTAAAAAGATTTAAAACTTTTCGTTGCGTATACGCACGTATGAAAAACACGTGACTGGAGAGCAGCTTTACCGGTCCAGTTATTGTGTGGCATGGGCGTGGTTCGGGCGTGGTCGGGGCTTAACTCGAAAGGGCTTAACTAGTGAGGGGCTTAACTGGAAGATTTGCTACTCCTTAAGACCCTTAAGTGAGGCAGGCTCTTTGCCAAACGTCGTGGGTTTTCTCCGGGCGCTCCGGTTTCCTCTCACAGGTAAGGTTGACAGGGTGGGTTAGCACAAACATAGTTTACTCTGCATGAAAGTAATATTAGTCTAGCTAACTCTTTCTATAAATACTCCAGTAATTATTATACAGCCCAGCGGATTTAGCAATTTAGCCCAGCCGACAGTTTTTGGCGAGAGCCGCCGTCAGATGTTGCGAATCGGGTGCATGAAGATTCAAGATGGTTGGTCGTAGTAGAAAAAACGATGTGAAAAGCAGGCTTGGTAAACGGAACCTTACAACAGCTAAACCTAAAACTGGGCGAATTCGTGATGCCAGGGACGTATTGAAACAGAAGGGTTCGACCAAGGTAGAAATTAGTGTGAATATATCTTGTTTTGCGCTGGTAAACTAATGCTGGCAATGTTGCCAATGTAAAACGCTTTTGTACGCTGGCAATGTAAAACGTTGTTATATCGTTATAAACAACAATGAAGTGCTTTGTAGTTTCATATAGTATACAGTTGGGTAGCTCTGCAAAACAGCGGAAAGGTTAATATACTACAATGTGAATTTGTGAACGTCTGTTTACGAACTTTACCGTTATTTGCGCAGATAAAAACACAGTCTTAACACGTGATACTTTATAAATGTTAATACTAGCATTTGAAGGTTTTGAGCTCAACCAATCAGCATGGGTAAAAGTAATGAGATAAAACTTTGTCAAATGCTTTTCATCAACATTGAAGTTTCACATGAAAAGAGACAATCATTAATTTGCAAGTTGCAACTGTTGGTCAATGATCATTAGATGTCTGTCAGGAAGAGGGGGCTATACCTCTGTAAACAAACCAACTACCCCCTGCCCCATAGACTCTGATATTCAAAGAACTTGCTCACGCTGTGTCACATAATAATGGAACCTTAATTTTAATTTTTTTTTAGGAAATTTGATTGACTGTATCTAGTTTTTATTTAAATGTAGGGACGAATCAGTAAACCATCAAATGTGCGATCAGCCTCGGGGAGACCGAGACAAGCAACTACCCAGAACACAAAAGCACGAGTTCGCAGGCTGATGCCTTTGAAAGAGCTGCTAGGAAAAGAAAAGACTGTAAAACACACAGCCAGCTCGCCAAAGGGCAACATTCGTACATTATCCTTAACAAGTGGTTCACTCCGAGTCACAACAAAACAACCTGAACTTTGTAGGAAAGCAATTGTTTCATCTCGCTCATTAAAGATTGTGACGCCATCAAACAGCATTAGCAAAACACAAGACACAGCTGAATCTGCAACAACCCCAAAGAGGACATTGAGAAATGATTTATATACGTCAAGGTTATCATCGTATGTTGTTGAGGAAGATTTGAGAACATCAAGTCCTAATTTATCATTTACGTCGTTAACAGAGGAACGTCCGTCGTTGGTTAGTAGGAGGCCTGCAACGAGACCTGCTCTACAGAATAACGTTAGTGTCTTTGACAATTGTACTTATTGGTTACTAGACCACGAGCAGTTTCTCCGAAGAAACGAGGGACTGCCAACAATATATAATTCCCATTGGTCGAAATCGATGTGCCTGTCAATCAAATCTGATATATAGTAATTATGTTATAAATAATTTCCATATTGAATGTTGATTTTATAAATGAACATGACATTAATGATTCCTATTGGATAGATTTAATAATTAATTGGATATAAGTAATGTTTATGCAAAGGCGGAGCCAACTTGACAAGAGTGAAAAGTGGGCGTATTTCGTTTCTTGATGTGTTGTCGGTGGTCCCTCCGTTCCCCTCGCACGCCTAGGAAGCTAAACCAGTGGAAAGGATGGGCCGCTCGCACTTATTTTGAGGTTGTGTTTAAAATTACATTAATTTGTTTAAAATTTTATTTGTTGTATAATATATACTCTACCGTCTTTCCAGGAACAGAAAAAGTTAACAAAGATTGTTGTAACCAATCTTCATCCTCGTGTCATTCAAGCTGACATTGCAGTAAGATCATACAACCTTCTAGTAATGGTCTCAATGCTAAACAACTCCTTGTTACTATTTTGGCTTGTATAATAACTGTTTTGTTCTCAATACAGGAGTTGTTTGGTGCAGTTGGTTCATTAGTGAGTGTGAAATTGGAGAATTCTGTTGCAGAAGTGGTGTTTGTGAAAGTAGCAGATGCTGACAGTGCCTATCACAAGTATCATAACCGCATGTTGGATGGTAAGTTGGTTTGAGGTGTACACCCCCCAGCACCCACCTACCTCCCTGCTGATTATCCTTAGCACCATATATCCCTCCCTCCTATGTGTGAACAAACCCTAATTTCAGAATCTTCATTTCCAGGTCAACCAATGAAGTGCACTCTGGGATTGGCAAACCCCGATGTGGAGAGGACTCAAGAGGGCACAAGGTGTGATTTAGGGATAATATATCCACTGTGATCCTTCTACCTAGCTCATGTTCCAGATTGACCCTGGGTCAGCTGCTCAGATTCCTGTCCTCCATTCTTTTTCTCCCAGTCACAATCAGTAACAGCTTCTCTTCTGCCCAGTCATCCTGTTTCACATTATCTACTGCAGTTGAAGTACTGTTTATAACAGTTGCAAGGCTACAATTTCTAATCAGTGTTTTATTTTCTTACAGTGTCAACTATTCGGGAGCCGAGCTCGTCTACCCGCCGACGTCATCCAGACCAGTGGTATTTCAAGTACGAATATAAACCATCCTACTTCGTGGAACTTGTTTATATTTTATTACCTATGAAGATATTGACTTTTTTATCACAGCTGACAACTTAGGTTCAGTTGTAGCAAGCTATGATCAAAAGGAACTAAGTAAAGCTGTACTCAACAGCTTGGAAAGCTCCAAACTTCCAAAATGGTCGCACTATATTCAATAAATATGTTTTGTTTCTCCCATTGGCATTCAATAAATAGTTACTTACCAGCACATTTATGTGCCATTTATATTTACCAGCACATTTATATTGCTCACTGCTTAGCTGTCCACCCTTGGACAGCTAAGCAGTGAGCAATATAACATTTTCTGCATGAATTGTTGGGGATGTTAAATTAGTAATGAAAAAAATGATTTGCAACTTTTGTATACACTGAAATGTCGAGGGAATTGCAATTTTTTGTCTCCTTCATTCTGATATTTTAAAAAATCGCGTTAAACTCCACCAAAATTTAAATTTTTCAAAAGGCACACAAAAAACTCGACTAAAGTCTTGTATATTAGGTTGAAATATCACAAAATTACATCTATTAGAGACACTTAGCTGTTGGTAAAGTCTAACTTCTCGTCGACATTTGGGACTTCATGACGTGGGACTTCATGACTTGACCCTTCAAGCTGGGTACGCATTAACGAGGGATGGAGTTCATATACTGGACTGTTATATGGTATGACTGGTTCTTCGTATATCTCCTGACTTTCAAGGTCATGCTTGGAGTAGTCCCGCGGTGGTGGCTCGGGGGGAAGGTCGCTGGACGATGAACATGCAGACGCATTTTTACCTACGTCATAACCCCTCGTGACGTCATTACTCTTGGTGACGTCATAACCACCAGTGACATCATAACTGGTGATGTCATGATTTTTCATGACGTCATGACCTCCAGTGACGTCATAACCTCTTCGGTCATCGTCGTAGAACTCGAACTCAGGCTCCTCATTCAGACACACGTGCAGAGGTTCCAGTGTGATTTCTTCAAGTGCTCTTGTCTCGGTGAATGTTTGTGTGAAAGGTTCGGGATTGAATGATATCGCTGGTGTCAGTAGCAGTATTTCATCGTTAACAATCTCCACAACCTAAAAGACGAATCATGAAACCGGTTTGAAAATGAATGATTATTAATCTAGCCCCGTCTTGTAAATTCAGTGTTGCGTGTGTTTCTATGAATCCAGTTAATCGTATGCCTTTGGTTATGAAAACAAAAATCATTGTGTGTTCGTGTAAAAGAAGTCAAACTTCATAGCATCTATACTGAGCTACAATATGAACAGGTCCAAAAACGCTACTGCCTTTTTACCTGCATCGCGTCCACAATAATAAACTTGTATTCAAGTCCGACACGTTCCAATTTTCCAACAAGACTAAATTTTTCATCAGGATTCTAAATACACCAATTGAAAAATAAAACACCAAAGATTAACGAATTAAAATAAGACTTCAATAAACTTCATTTATGTGAGTTGAAAACTCACCGTTAAGTATGTCTCTCCAATTTTAAAGTCTGTGAAATTTCTGTAAACAGAAGTTTCCGTTAAAGCAACACTTGACAACGACACAGCCATCTGAAAGAAATGCATGGTAAATGAAAACATGAAATTAAATTTGTTGGTGTTGGCTCAGTTGGCAGAGCATCGGGATAGCATTCCAAAGGTCATAGGTTCGATTCCCACCGTGTTCAGACATATTTTCAAGCTTGTCCGGTGTGGATATACACTCAGAGTAACATCACAAACATGAAACGAAATTATTGCATAAATTCTAAACGTGTTCTCACCATGTTCTCATCCTCCCAGAGTTTGTAATATCTGGCCGCATGAACACCGAGTATAAATATTAACAGCACGAAAAAGAACACATTCCCAATGAACAAAACTAACTTCTCACTTTTAAGAACTTTTCCTCTGTAATAAAAAAGAGAAATAGAAATTGATATCAAAATACAAGTTCCCGTAAATTGATATCAAATTCAAACTTTAAAATTTACGTTGGTGGGCAGCAGATGGTGGTAAACTTCCGAAATGTTCACCTTTACAGTGGTGAGCTCTACCAGAACAAAATATCCTAATGAACAAAATTTTGATCTAGACAAGTCTAGACAAAAATTTCATCACAGCTTGAAAGAGCATCACAAAATTAGTAATATTCCGAAGTTTCGTTGCGAATTGTTGTAAAATGCGGATAATATAGCCCTTTGCCGTTTTTCAGTCATTTTGTATTACGCACGGGAAATTGATACCGCTTTCTGAAAAAAGGGGAAAAAACATGCAATCGAGTGACTGGATGGCATGAAGAACAGAAGAATTTTGAAAATAATTTTCTGAATCGTGATACAATCTTGTTGACTGTTGTGCTATTAAAATGACGACTTACGTGGTTGGATCAATTAAATCCCCATCTTTGTTGTAACTGCCCATAATTCTATCACCATTTCCATCTATAAATAACTTCTGTCCCGTCGGTTGCTCCCACCACCATCCAAAATACGCGATCGGTGCACCCCCCGGTTGCATGCCCAGCCTCGCTTTGAGAAGACCAAACACAAGTGAGAATAATATCCAAAGATTGAGCCAGTGAGATAACGAAGGTTTCGTAAACAGATCCACGATGGCGGAGAAATTATCGTTCACCCAAACGAAAATTTGTTCCATCCTTTTTAGCACCTTTTCTTCCAGTTTGACGTTTTCTAATTGGTCGGCTTCATCGGTGACGTCATGTGTGAAGTCGCTTATGCACATTTCAGTGTCAGCATTCCCTAAACACTGCAAGAGAAATAGAAAGATTTGCTTCAACAGAACTGGTTTTGGTTTCCTCGATCCTGTAGTAACACTGGAAGTGGACCTCTACGAAGAACAGTTTAGAACTGATGTTATCCAATATAAATAAAGTTCGTTTAGGTTTCCTCCTGTGGTAACACTGGATCAATAACTGATGACTGGTCCTCTAGGAAGAACCGTTTAGAACTGACAGAGATATACCTAAGAGATAAAACTAAGATACAGCACGGAGGATAAAAAAGACATACCGCGCACGAGCAAGATTGCAAACATACACAGGCTGTTGTTGTTTCAAATGTGATGTTGGCAGAGTCCAACAAACCATGACGAGCATCCCAGAGATTCACTAAAAACAGAAAAAAGAATACGAAAGTACATGCCTCGAAATCCGGCGTACTTTTACACTCCTATCTATACCTCTACTAACTATAAAGCAAGATGAGTGCTGCCTACCAGTACACATAAACTGTCCTGAGGCGTGAATGGTTGTCCTGAGATGCAATGTAAATGTGTGAACTGATTGAGCATTGATCGAGGCTCTGACTTCAGGACTTCGCTGTATACCTCGTGTGCAGTATTTCATTGTGACCTAGTTAAGAGTATAGAAGCCTTTTAACAAACTTAACGACGACAACAACAACTACACGAAGAACTTACAAAGTAATCCGCTGTTACAAGTCCGGTGTTTTGAACAATAACGTGAAGTTGGCCATCTTGAGAAAGTGACTCGAAGTCAGTCGCGAATGCCTTGACAATTATCCCACCTGCCCTATAGAGAAAAAGTTTATACTGTTTTGGAAAGCTGCCGTGGTTTGTATTTTACCTGAGAAAGATTGCTTCAGTCCCAAACCACAGCAACGTACTGCAGGTAGTTCAGACACAAACCACGGCAGCTTATTGTAGAATTCTACCTACTTGTTATAAATCAGGATTATATCGTCAGCACTAATCTCCAAACTGATCATAATGTTGCCCAATTTTCCTGCTTTATAAATCAAGGCATAGCTTCCTTTCTTATCATACTCTCCCGTGCCTTCTACTACTCCATATCGTTCTGGGAAATAAAGTGGTCGTTTTCCTTTTTCACGATTTTTCTGGAAAATAACAGACGATATAAACGGACTGTAGAACTAAGAAACAGCTGCGAAACAGCACTAAGAAATGGTCAAATGGATCTATCAGAAACGGATCAATGGTTTAATTGAAATAAGATTTTAAAATGAAATTTCTAAAGACTTACCACGTCTGTGTCAAAATAATCTTTTACTTGGTTAAGTAGACACCTGAAACAAATGAACATTTCCAAGCTCTATATTTTCTCCCCAATAAATCTATTCTAGATAGCTCTATACCAGTTCTAAATTGTTCTTTCTAGAAGTCAGCATTACTTACTGACTCCAGTGAAAAACTTAACCAACTACCAGCATAACCTATACATGATGGCTCTATCAGTTCTAACTCCTACAGGTTCACTAAAGGCTTTTTTGGTACAATAGATGAACTTACGATCCTATTTTCCGTGTACAGCCTGGCCCTTGTCCATCGTAACCGCCCTGCATTCGAAATGCTGTGAAACTCACACCAATTTTGTTGCAAGACTGTATCTGATTGTCCATCGCTACATATGATCTTGGGATTATGAGGAAATCTCTGGCACCGTACTAGAAATTGAGCAAAAACATGTTTAAAAACAGGGACGCCGGAACGATGTGAAGGCAAGGGGGCAGATTTTCGTGAAAGGGCACTTTTGAATTGATATATACTAAGGGATATTTGCAAAACATTGGGAGTTGAACTTCGCTTAATCATGTTTTCTATTTATTGGATGATAGGGGTGTGAGTGGGTTCTCCGCCAGGCGATTGTGCTATTCTTGAAGCTCGATGACTGCATTTCTTGCGTTTTCTGAAGCAAATTTGTAAAAGAATTGCACTAACATTTCTGACAATTCGCTATTTTGCCAAGGCAATCCTTTAAATTGAAAGGGCACCTTTGCCCCCCATGCCCCCTTCTGGCAAAGGGCAACGGGGGCGGCTGCCCCTCCTGACCACCCCCCAGTTCCGGCGTCCCTGTTTAAAAACATTAAAATAACTATAATTAATAAAATATTATGCCGTTTGAAAACTACCTAGTAGAAAAAGACCTTACGCGGTTGTTGCCTCGCATCACAACTGAGTGAAATATGGCCCATCATAAAGCAAGCTTAATTTAGGCTTCCTCCTCTAACAATACTTTAGTAATCATAAAGTTATTTTAGATCAGGTTTCCTCCTGTTGGTAACATTGGAACAATAAGAGACAGCCCTTACCGAACCACCAGGGAGAACAGTTTGAGCATAAATAAAGTTAGTTTAGTTTTAGTTCGCCATGGGCTACCAAAATATACTATACTTTCTCAAGTGGAAAATTGAATAATTTGAAATTCACCCTCGTTTGTGGATGTGTTAACCAGTTGACGTCAGAGCCACCAGTTGGGATAAACAGATATCTTTCTGTTAAACTGTATATTTGTGTGTCTGTCTCGAACATTCCAACCATCGAAGCCAGCAACTAACAAAAACACATTGATAAAGATATGAGCTTTCCAACCATGCGTACAGCCTGGCAAACAGTACAACAATGCCAGTATAATAGGAAGGTTTCACTGTATACCGCTACCATTAAGCGACCATTAACCAATCAGATGCGCTTGATATATCCAATTAGCCAATCAGATGCGTACTAAGCCAGGGGAGAGGTAGCGATAGTGGAAGTCAAATCTGAACCTCTCTATTATCGTACAACATGCGGTAGTCAAGTGGCAGTAATCACAGTGATATTGAAATAATGTTGATTCTTGTCATTATATGTATAGTAGTCCTGAATTTTAGAGATTTAATTCAATTTTCTTGCTCTTACAAATGTCAACATATGTGAAGTTGACCACCAGAACAGAAACCTACCGACACTTACCCTTCCGTGAACACCATGACCAGATGTTTTAAAATTACTCAACTCAATCTGACCACCATCAATTAACTTCTGATATCTTTTCCCATCTCTTTCCTCCTCCACCAAATCATATGCTTTCACAAAAATCTTTGAAAAGAACGCAAAAAGTGTTACTATAGGCTTCCTTTCTATTTTATCCACATCTGGCGTATCGAAATCTAGCGTGAATAAACTTTTGCGTAAATGCTAATGCAAAACAATGAGTGACTAGTTGGATTTTGAAAACATTGATTTCAATCACTGGATCGTAAGTGAATGGCATTATTGCTATGCTAAGAGTTATGCCTGCTTGGCAAAATAATCTCACCTTAAACCAAATCTTATAGAGGCCAATCTTGTGAACATTATACCACAGTTTATCATAGTTCATACAGTGAGCACTTTGTCTTTTCTTGTTTTTAAATAACTGATGAAACAACGGAATATGCCAAGTGTTGCCACACACGGTATCCCCTCGATGATAGCGCCCTCCTTGAGTGTCATGAAAATCTTCCATAAATGAACAACGACAGCAAAAACCCTGGAATAATACGGGTTTGAACTATAGATTGCTGCGGAACTATTGCTGCAAAAATATTTCCTAGCCATGTTTCCCAAAGGTGGACAAACCAGGAAATATTATTTCCTAGCCATGCATGTTTCCCGAGGTGGACAAACCAGGAAACATTGTTTCCTAGCCATATTTCTCGAGGTAGACAAACCAGGAAATGTTGTTTCTTAGCCATATTTCTCGAAGGTGGACAAACCAGAAAACATAAAATTCTAAATAAGTTTTGTTGCACTATATGTTAATAATGATGGCTTGTATACCATCTCATCGAGAGGTCAACCTCAGACCAACCTGACTATCCCAGATTCTCTCTCCAGTAGTTATGTCATACTGCATTTGACAAGAAAAATCATCCGCATCAGAAGTTTCTGCACCATCTTGACACCAATATTCTCGTTTCGATGTCTCGTACGGCTTGTTGTTCACCGTCTGTTTGAATTAATAAAACAACTATGCAGCAAAGATTACTACATCACTTTGAGTCTTTGACTGACAGCAACCTACACGTACACACGTAAAATCACGCAGCTTGTCAACAAGATGTGTCCGCCCTGCTTCTTCCCAGTTGTTGACAAGTCTGGAATAAGTTGTTATCATCTTGTAACAAGGTTGATGATACCAATAGACTCGCAACAAGTTGTTCCAGCAAGTCTGATATCGTCTGCACGTAACAAGTTGATGACAACAAGCTCGTTGCAACTTGTTACGAACAGCATGTATTAGACTTGTTAGAACAACTTGTGGCAAGTCTGTTACCATCATCAACCTTGTAACAAGGTGATGCGATATCGGCTTGTCAACAACCTTCCCAGCGGGCAAAATGACGTATATCCAACGTTGAATCAACGTTGGAAATGACCTTCCAGACGTTGGATAGACGTTGAAAAAGGGTTGACTATGCAAATTGGATCGACGTTACTGTTTCGACGTTGAAACAACGTTGAAATTAGGTTGCCATTCTCGTCAACCATAATTCAACGTTGAATCCACGTTAAAACAACGTTGAGATTGGTTCACAAATCGACGTCGTACATTTAACTATGAATGAACGTTAATTCAACGTCTGTTGGCTGCTGTTGAACCAATGTTTGTAAAACAACGTCAGAGCAACGTAGATATTAGGTTGTCGACGTCGCAACCTTTTTTCTACCAAATTTCAACGTTGAAACAACGTCGTGTGCCCGCTGGGTTGTTGCAACTTGTTTTCAGATCTGTAATAACTTGCTCGTTTCTACGTGTGTAACGTTGGTTTCTGGATAATAGATGACCTTTATTGGGGCTCTAGGGAGAACAGTTTAGAACTGAAAGAGATATCCAGTATAACCAGAGCTAGTGTTCCATCCAGCTCAAAAATCCACTTACTCCAATAAGATAGTAAGGATAAACAATGTGCATGGGTGATGCAGTAACTGTGATGATGAAAGGATTATAAAGTCTTGCTTCATCACGATTGACGTCATCTTGAACCTTGCTTACATTCACATAAATCAGTTCTGATTCTTTCTGCGATAAAAAGGAAATGAATTCTCATCAATATTGTGCCTGCATGGACAGTTCTTGTCTTGAAACTGTACTGTGTAAATTATAAACCGAAATTCACCAGGCGCTGCCGTGCTTCAGATGAGGTCCCCCAGGAATTACAAGCGTCAGAAATGTTAATTCTTATATGTGGCTGTCTTGTTTTAAGGTTCAAACTGAGTGCCCGGCACTGGTGCCCAACGTTCAAAATTGTTCACAAAACATGTTGAGCACAGTGCCGTTGTTGAGTACTACCTCTAGAGAGGTAGTGCCCTTTCTTGGGCACTGTGCCCAATTTCATTTGGAAGCATCATGTTCAAACTAGGCGCCAAAACAAGTGACGGGCGCCAGCGCCGGGCACCCAGTCTGAACGCAGCCTTATATGGCTGTTGGCCGTAACGTTGGTATTAAACACCAGTTCGGTAAACATGAATTCCTACCTGTTCAGCCGAAACAGATTTCGTAATGACCAGTTTCTTTTCGCAGCCCTTGCCTTCAACCACGTTGAATGGATCACTGTTTTTATCCTTGACACACATTGTGATTTTACCTTTGGATAATATTGTGCCATTACAGCAAGTAAATTCACGATAAATACCAAATATTACAAAAAACAAAGCAACTAGACATTTATTTACACTACATTGCTTAGACATTTAGATACGAATGTAATTTTTTTAATTCAGGCAAACCTTGCCACGAAAGTGATATGCTTTGTAAGAATAATAAACTTTGTAAAACTGCAATGGCCCTAATTGGCAATTACGTTGCGTCATTAAGCATGGCAAAGAAGAGTCACAATTGGAAAGGATTTTGCCACGAAATGCAAAGCTCATGGGCATAATAAGATAAGCCTTTTTAAACTACGATCACGTTTTTCATGAAAAGAAGTTGTTACTGCTTCATGGCTTTATAAAATTATAGTCCGCTGTGTTTTGAGAAAAACACGGAGTTTTGGGCCCTGGGGACGAAAACGCAAACAATGCAAATTAGTTATTTTCCCGTTTGTTCTAATTTTCATACTGACGACACAGAATAGATACACAACCAGAAGTATCACTCAGACGATATTTTGTCCGAAATTTTACGAGTGCTGACGTGAAAATACGCCATCATATGACGCCATCCTGGAGTGCACACGGAAGTTTTTCATAGGAAAACATAGGTACAAAGTTCCGTGTGCACTCCAGGATGGCGTCATAGCACGAAAAAAAATTTCGGACGTTTTCCTTCAGCCAAAACACATAGGAGTGGCCCTTCTGGTCCGGTATCTATTCTGTGCTGACGACAACCACAGGTAACAGCTAGAGTTAGATCAGCTTTAGATAACGTTTAGTCAAGGCACCTGCCCCCTGCGGGATAAAGGTGAATCACTTAGCTTACTGAAAAAATAGTTTCTGAATGTCTCAAGGGGGAATCGAGCTGGTTTAATGTACGGAACTGCACGGCCAAATTGAAATTGAACTTTAGGGACTGGCCCAATTGAGATAATCATAAGTGTACACTGTGAACACGCCCGGATATCCAATTCACATTAATTCGACGAGCTTTACAGATGTGATTGGGAAACGACGTAGGCTGACCCAGCCAGAAATAATTGCTAGGACAACAAGTAATACTATCAAGTTATACAGAGCTTCGAGATACATTAAATTCAATATTTTGCAACTCAAGTTATACTTGTTTAATATTTTACAACATTTTTTTTCACCCCTGTGTTATTAACTATTTCTTAGCCGCCCCGCCCTTCAATTTGGGGACATTTGCTTTTAATTTAGGTACTGCTTTCATATTCGGCGTTTTCTTTGGAATAATCCTCCTGGCGTTTGTTGTTTGTTTTGGGGCAGGCACCGTCTCGGGTAACGCACTTTCTACATCTTGTTGCAGATCTCTCGATGTTGAAGGCTCGAGCTGCTTCAATAATCGTTGACCTCGGGCGAAATATGCGATCTTGACGAGTAAAATGATCGGAAGTAGATAGAAGAAGATAATATTGATGAAAAAATCTCGAGTACCATGATTTAAAATCACCGTTGTGTTACTAGAAAAAATAGAAGTTTAAGTTAGTCAAGCTGGCAATAAAGCGAGTCGGTTCTATCTTATTTTATAGAAATATACCCACGATAATCCATGACGTTAAACACGTTTTGTGATGACTGATAAAACCATCCAGCATAAATAAAGATTCTTTCGGTTTCCGGTTTCCTCTTGTTGTAACACCGGATCAAAAAGACCAATAACTGATAAGTCTATCCAGCGGTTTAAATAAAATCAGTTTAGTTTGGGATGGCCTTTACTAGACCTCGATACAGGAAGAAAAGTTTAGAACTTATAGAGCTATCCAGTATAAATAATGTTAGTTTAATTTAGGTTTTCTCCTGTAGTAACACTAGATCAATAAGAAGTGATCCTTACTGGACCTCTAGGAAGAACACTTTAAAACTGATAGTGATAGAACTATATCCAGTATAAATAAAGTTAGTTCAGTTTTACACGGCCACATTGTAATTCCACATACTTTGTAGTATCCACAAGATTCATGGCTGCGTCATAGGTCAACAGTTTCTTTTCTCCCTTCACTTTCCTAATCACTTTCTCGCCAATACGAACTCCGCCAAGCCCCAGCTTCGCAACAGAAATGAAGTATCGTCCAATCATTGCTTTGCCAACACCACAGAACAGTAAGACAATCAGTACAATTCGTACAGGGTTGAAGAAACCACGGACTTTTTTCAGAATTTTCGTGAGCAAGCTGTCTTCTTTGTCTTCTTCGTCTTCGTCTTCATCGTAGTCGTGATCGTAATCTTCTGCATTTTGACAATCATCAATGTCTGCTTCAGTATTGTCATTTTCATCCGCAGCTAGTTCGTTGCACTGTTGGAAAGGAACGAAAGGACAAACATGAGTTATATTGGAGGTAGGATGTCGGTGAGACAGTCGTTGGTGCAAGCAGGGTTCATTCCCAGCAATATGCAGTTGTCAGATCATAATTTCGCACGTGAGAAGAGCAGTTCCATTTTGACTCTACCAAACATCGCAAGTTCTCTCGGCTACACAGGTTTTTCCTTACTAGACTTCCAGTTTAGAGACAGCATCTTAGAACTAGATATGTCTAGTTTATAGTCAGGTTTGGTAGGCCTACTTTTGTAACAGCAGGGGCTGGTTGTACAAAAGCCGGATATCGAGGAATTGTTCGTTAATTGCATGGAATAACCCGGATTAAACTTTAGTATTTATGAATGAATATTTATTTTTATTATTTGTAAGATCTATGTCCGTAGTTTTGTAGTTTCAAGCAATTTTTCATCGTTGAAAAAACCACTTTCAGCGGGTGGATAGCGCTATCCGGCCTTCGTCCAATTGTACCCATAACAATAAAGTTACGAGATAGTAAACTATGGAAAGATATGATTACCTTACAAATGCAGTGATGAAGACATACACAAGGTGTATACGTCTTGAAAGTCACATTCGACGTGTCTTGAAGGTGACGACGGGAGTCAAAGAGTTGGACTGCAAGAGAGAAAAAAGACAAGTGATGTATATATAATTGCGGTGGTTGGTAAATCCATCGTCAACTATATTGGTTGACCATCTACTGCACGATTACCTGCACAAAAATGTTTTTTTCCTTTCTTCATGTAGACATTAATATCGTAAGTGAACATGTGAGTTGACTTTGGATTAATTGATGCCATTCTCTCATCACCACGGTAGACACCTTCCGAACAGCCGGAGAATACAACCTTGAAATGTGAAAGATTTACACACTTTTAAATTAAACAGTTTTGGTTTTTGCTAGAGGAAATAATTTCGCCGGCCTTTAACTATAGCATTCTATGTAGTCAGTGACAGTGTATTAGAGCTATTCAGCATGAAGAAAGTTTTTAGTATAATATACCGCGGGTAAGTGAACATACGTAAAAATCAGCGGTGACCAATCCTGTATTTTGTACAATAACTGTCAGTGTGCCATCTTGAGACAAAGCATCAAAGTCTGTGGCAAATGATTTCACTATAATACCATTAGCTCTGAAAAATAACCAAAGCACATGAAAGGTTAATTAGTCAAATGTACTAACCTCTTAAACCCACCACCTAATAGACTTGCCCACATAGCGAGCGGTGAGCGGCGAAGCACCACCTACCTACCTAACTATCTAACTGCCTATACCTACCTAGCTACCTACCTATTTATCTACCAACTAACATATCTAATTACACTATACCCTAGTAATACTCACCTATTATATATTAATACCATATCATCAGCACTGACTTCCAGTGTGATCAAACTATTCCGTACTGTATCTCCTACTTCATAAACAATTCCTAAATCTTCTGAAGGACCATCTGTATTCACACCTACACATTTACCATATTGCTCGACGAAATAGTTCGGAGTTCTGCCGATATTGCGTAACGCCTTCAGAAATGAATAAATGAAATAACGGTTGTATATTGTTTGTATACAATGAGTTTAGGTTGCATTTTGTCCAGTAAAGTTCAAAATTCTCACCGTATCTTCTTCGAAAAGATCTTTTGGTTGATTATTTAAACAACTAAAAGAATACATTTATAAAAACGTAAGTTATTGAACTTTGGAACTTTACTGAAGCTTTTGGTTTGAAACTGTTCTTCCTATATAGACTTGCGACCCCAGTCTTATAAAGTATACATAGACAAGAGATAGTTTTTCACCTGTCAGGTTTTTGGTTACATCCACTGCCTCTACCACTACTTCCTCCTCCCAACTTACGAAATGAACTATAAGACACTCCGACCATATCACAACTATCACTGCCTTCACGTATTGAGATCTTATCACTGGGAATCAACATATAGTCGTGAAAACCGTTCTAGAAAGTGAAAGAAATTGAAAAAGTTTCAAACCCTTAATTTCGGCCTAAAAACTAAACTAACCTGGGGCCGGTTGTATAATAAATCTTAATCACTTTTTTAATCACTATTTTGTAGTTAAATAGTGATTAAAGTTTAACTCTCAAATACGCTCTTCTTATTGGATGATGTTTGCACTTAATTATAGTTAACTTTAATCACTTTTTTATTCAACCGGTCCCTGGCTTGAAAGGAACTTCGCGTCCTCGATTCGGCCATGTACAACTATTATATTATTTATAATTGCAATAATTTATGTTGAATTTACAAAGAAATATACCTTACCAATACTATGGCAGCATATATACATGAACTTGTGGTTAGAACTCGACAAGTGGACTCTGTAGCTCGAGCTCAGTTGGTTAGAGCGCGCTGCACCGGAATTTTATCTCAACAAATACACTCGGAATTTCAAACTACAAAACCCTTCTACTTTAGCTAAGTTTATACTTGATAAACTCCAGCATTCCCCTGCACATCTCCTTTCACTTTCATAGTTCAGCTTACCCTTATCTGTACATGGCCGCCATTGGCGCTGTTCGCTGCTGTAACTTTGGGTATGAGTAAATATTTGTGCACCAAATTTGGGATTTCTGTCGTAGACTCAAATGTTCCATGAAATTTGGCCAGTAACTAAACAAAACAAAAGAATTCGCGATAAACAAAATTAACTAATCAATGTATGGATTATTGTTTATCTATATTCTTGTATTTCCCCTCAATTCCATGTTGCTCGTGTTTTAAATGGTACTTGTTTTGATTTTAGCGGAGTTTCCTTATTCTTACCCTTCCATATTGCCCGAACCCACTCCTCTTCTGATAGTTCAGTTTTATCTTTCCTCCATCGACCCATTCAGTAATAGTTTTATTATTGATTACTTTTTTCACTTGCTCAAAAGCTTGAATTGAAATCACAAATGAAAGTCTGGGTTCACGAATGGAAAACACATCATACCTAAACAAGAAAACGTCGATGTTTCGGTGAAAAATAGACGGGATTTTAAGTCTTCAGGAAATATTATTGCGTCATTAAGAAGACATTAGTTTTGGAAATACATGCTTCTGGAAAGTATTTAGCCATGGCTATTTTATCTTATTATTGATTACAGAATTATAAACAGGCCTTATAAATTCACTGACATATCTGCATGGTTTCGTAAATTTGTCACCTGTAATAAAATAAAGGGCTTTAAAGCCAATATTTCAAACACGAAAATGAAGCTTTATAGCTAAGACTGAGCACTTTCCAGAAGGGTGTATAAAAAAACTCACCAAAGATCGTCCATTCTCATACAATGCGAGAACTTGTCGTTGTCATCGTGTTTATGGCTATAACCACAGAGTCCTCCCTGACCACCGCGATAATATTCATTGGCATGACCTCCAAACAATAACCATTTTGCCCAGTCTGGAACTGTATCATACATCGAACATGAACAACAAAATCCCTGGGAAGAAGCAATAATCCATTCAAAAACTTGACTAAACTTACTTTATTAATATTAGATAGCTCTATTCATTCTAAACTGCTTTCTCAGAACTGAAACTATCAAACTGGAAGCACTCTTCTCACATGTTACCAGGGGCGCACATTAGAGGGGTGTGAGGGTGTGCGCCCCTGCATGTTACCAAGGAGAAATTATCATCACACAATTGTATACTGCAGGAATGGAACGCTGTTTACAAATGGATCTCTTAACCAAAACTTCACTTACCTGACTGTCCCATATCCTGTTGCCTTTATGATCATGCGCAAAGCCACAAGTAGCACGTGTGTCCCAAAATCCATCTCTACAACTGACTTTTGTTCTCACTTCTTCATAAGGATGATTGTTTACCGTCTGTGAAATAACGCAAAAATAACAGTATTAATAAAGAAGAAGAGAAGAAGATAACTAGGTTTCTGTTTTTTAAGTTGGACCCGATGTTTTTTTCATTCTTGAAGATATCTTAGTGTCACAGTGGTCAGTATATGCTTACACCTTTGTGACGAGAGTTCAATTCCTGCACGAAATATTCGTGTTATAATATCGCCTGAGGTGTATGAAAAAAGATAGCTTCGAGTTCGACATTACCAAATGTAACAAGTTTTCCCCAGGTACTTTTCAGTTTCCTTCTGTTGTAACACTGGACCAGTTTGGGATTTTCTTCTTTCCAACGCTTAGAAGAATATTCAAGAATTGATAGAGCTACCCAGCATAGTTAGTTTTGTTTATATTAAATCTGAGTATAAATTCAAAAAATAAGACTTACGGTTTCGTAGAAAAAAGGATAAACATATCTAAGTTTTGATTTTGTAACACTGAGAGTAAATGGATAGTAGAGCCGAGCTTGTTCCTTTTCCATACTGTCGTACACCTTGTTCGTTGTGAATAAGAACGATTCTGTTCCAGTCTGAAATATGAAAGATATCATGCACAAAAAGTGGAGTGGTTTTATCATATAAAGCACTCTATCATGTGTAGCAGATTGTGGTCAACAGGCTAGTTATCAGAGCGAGGTATTAAAATTAAATTTATTTTCATTATATATAATTCTCTTGCTTTTGTCTAGATCTTGTCATCTATTAGTTAGCAATTAGTTAAGATATTTTGTCAATCAAAAACACAGAGAACTGTCAGTAGTTAACTTCATCCAGACCCTCTTGTAAAATATCAGCCGAGTTCCCAAAATTGCTTCTTTATCATTTAAGATATTTTGTCAGTTGTTAATCACAAACACATGCAGGGAAACACCAGTAGTAAGTTAACGTCATTTAGATCAAAGTAAATAGAACAAGAACGTTATGGGGAACTCGATGCAGACATAATATACCTCATTATCAATGTTTTTGTCTTGGTTTTTCAAGAATGGTCGGTTCATCGGTCACGTGTTTGTTCTTTTTCGCCAGAGAAACCAATGGCAGTGCGTTGATTTAATAACCCAGCCGTGATATTACACGATGGTTAAACCATAGCTATTGGTTGCTCTATAACACACACGTGACGCCCAGCTGACCATTTATTGCATAAACCAAGACAAAAATATAGATGTCTGCATCGAGTTTTCTCACCTTCTTATTCTATAGACTATATATATGTTTAGATCGGCCCTCTTTCCACTCCTTACCTGTCCTGAACGTACTGCTTGAGCAATAATCAGTTTCTTCTGACACGACTTATTGTCCACTACATTATGTGGGTTTAGACCAACATTGTCGCACAGCGTCAAATCACTTTTTGCGATAAGCATGCCTAACGCAAACTTTCTTTCACGCAAAAATACGCTAACTTCCAACAGAACGAAAATAACTCGCATCAGTGCCAAACATCCACGATATTCAAACATAATTAGAAGCAAACTACGGATAATAAAACAATCTAAAATTCTATTTTATTGAAATAAGTACATTATTTGTGTTCTCTCTTCTCGCCGAGAGCGAGCGCTATAATTGCATTTTTTATGGTTAATTATGACGTCATCTTTTGTCTCGAAATTGGCACCAAATAATTTTGAATTGCCAGAATTAACGTTCATTGAACTATTAATGCGCGTTTAAAACTTGATTAAACTGAATACCTTCGTACTGGATAGCTCTATCCTTCGTACTGGATAGCTCTATCATTTTGGGCTCCAGTGTTACTACAGGAAGAAACCTAAACTTACTTCAAACGTTATTTATACTGGATAGCTCTAACAGTTCTACTTGTTTTTCCTAGAAGATTTTATAAGGACCTTCCCTTATATATTGACCAAGTGCAACTTGTGGAACGAAATTACAATCAAATTAATTCTGATGTCGCACGCAACACTTTATGACGTCATAAAATTACATCAATAAAGACAATTTGACAAAATGGAAAGCGTGATGCTCTGCTACACAGCTAGCTACAAATTTCGATTTTGGAGTTTAATGTTTTTTATATTACAAATGTTTTCATGAAAGAAAATGCTTAAGCGACTTTTCTTTGGTTATGCTTTGTTGATTTTGTTCTGTTTTTGGAAAGTGGATGGCACAATAATCGCGAAAAGCGATATAACAATCTGTGAAAATACGGCCAAAGATCCACTTAATGTTTTGTATAACAAAAGATGTGAGAAAAAGATGGTTGTACTGGCTGAAGTCACTAGTGGCCAGGTATCAAACTAACAAACAAATAACCACAAAACACACTAACTAATAAACTAACTATAACTAACCAACTAATTAGCCAGCCACCTAATTAATTACTCAACTTGTATATTTTGACAAACAAACAAACAAACAAACAAACAAACAAACAAACAAACAAACAAACAAACAAACAAACAAACAAACAAACAAACAAACAAACAAACAAACAAACAAACAAACAAACAAACAAACAAACAAACAAACAAACAAACAAACAAACAAACAAACAAACAAACAAACAAACAAACAAACAAACAAACAAACAAAACCCGAACAAACTTATATCAAACTAACAGACAAACTAACTATCTACTCCGGTAACAAACTATAAACTAACTAGCTAACTATCTAGCTAAGTAGCTAACTATAGTAACTATAACTAATACTATACTTACCAACTAACGCTGTAACGGTTGACAAAGCTAAATTAGACTCATTGATTACATAACAATGCTCATAATGATATCATGACAATCATTGAGCACATTGTTCTTTGTTTGTTAGGGAGAAACAGAGAGGCTTCATGCGACAGTAAACAAAGTTCGAGATACTGTCGTAGGAGAAGACGCTCGACTATACAATCCATTCATCATCACATTAAGTATGTCGCCAATACATCTCGTCTATCCGATATTTTACCGAGGGGTAAGTAATGTTGAACATTTTACTACGAGGCCTGGTCGAGACTTGAAGCCCCGTTTACACTACGCTCAATTTTTGGTACCGTACCACTTTTTTGGGTTCTTGGGATACCTAAATAGGTAGTCCAAGAACCAAAAGTGGTACGGGTATAGTGTGAATGGGGCTTGAGGAATTCAGAACCTCATGCACGCAAATGAAAAATACAAACAGAACTCGGATGTTTCGAGTGAAGAGAGTCGGGAAGTTTCGAAGTTTTGTTTATATTGTTCAGGATTTGTATCCCCACCCTATACATATATGAAGAAAAATCTTCCGCAGAAAAAAAGTTTTGTAAAATGTGATTGGATTCTGAAGTACGTTGAAAACAAATTTATGTTTTTATATTAGACATTAAACAACAAACCTTTTGAAGAAATGTTTCCGTTGGGGAAATATAATTGTTACGCGGAGGAGCATCCCTGTGGAGCGTACTACGATTGGCGTGGCAAAATTATCTGGGACAGCTGGGTAGGTTTTCTGCAGTCTATAGTTAACATTGCTATCTTGCTTCATTCATATATATGTAGATAAATTGGTAAAGTTGGGCGGTGTAGTTGTTAAATAAATTATGTACCTATAACCTATCATCCGTTAGCCTGCGGGCAGCCCCAATCGGTATTGCTTGAAAAATTAACGATTTCCCGTATCCAGTATGAGCGCTGAAGAATAAATCATTGCCTTTGAAAAAATTTCGAAGAGCTTCTATTTGGTCATGATAAAAAGAATTTACTTTTAGAAGACAGCAAGCGATATTCACTGCTTCTGAAAACTTGTCTTCGTCAAATATAATGCGTTCCTTGCAATACGCCATATTGAATTTACATATTCACGCCCCTGCATATTTAGCGTATTAATTTTCTTGCATAAATTATTTTCCCCAAAAGCTGGAAAAGCGCGTAGCAAGCTATTCGGCATTGTTTCGCAGTCCCTTCCCTCGTTTACGTGGTATGGGGCTGCCCGCAGGCTAATCATCCGTGCGCTTGATGTTATTGCAAATAATGATGTTGTGTAATAAACTTCGCAGGTTTTATCTGTTTTTTTCTGCTGTAGTAACACAAGACCAACTGAGGCATGATCCTAGCTTAAATAATAATGGACCCCTGAAGAAAACAGTTTAGAACTGATAGAGCTATTCAATGTAAATCAAGTTAGTTTAGGTTTCCTTTTGTAGTAACACTGGATCAATAAGAGATGACTCTTACTGGACCTCTGAGGAGAACAGTTTAGAACTGATAGAGCTATCTAGTAGAAATAAAGTTAGTTTAATTAATCCGTTTTCTCCTGCATTAACGGCGGAAGAAAAAAAGGGATGGTACGTACTGGAAAAAAATTAAAATATTTTTAAATTTTGCACCTCTAGGAAAACTAGCTTAGAGCTGGCATATAGCTATCCAGTATAAATAACATAATTTTTTCCAGATTTGTTGATTTAAATGTAATCATAATTAAATGTCTAGGGATTCTGTTGCGAGTGTCAGAGAACTGGAATTTATGCTACGACAAAGATGTACGTTTTCGACCTGGCGATGAACAACTACTTTCGAGGCCAAATTGATTGTGACAAATACCTATCCTCGGCGCACTGCATGCGTTTTGATGACCTGTGGTGAGTCCTAACTTTAAAAAGTCTAATTCAAATTCAGATTGAATTTCAAGCTGAAACACAAAATTGAAACACTCCTATAAAACAGCAACACTTAAAACAAAAACAAAAACAAGAAAATTAAATTAAATCATTCAATTCTATTTATTTGCCACTAAATACAAAACCACAACATATCATGAAAATAATTCTGAGAACTGCTGATTAATATCTGTTGTTAGTGAAAACCAACTTATTGGACAATACTTGAATTGTTTATATCTTTGAAGGTATGACGTGCATGAAATTGATGTCTTTTCGTTCGACTTTACGATTTGGATAAAAGCTTACGACCAAGTGGAAAAATTTGAAAATAATAAGACATTGATTGAGTGGGTGGATGGAGGAGAGATTGAACTCAGTCCCACGAAGACAGGAGGTGTGGGAAAACATGGAAGGGTAAGAAAGTTTTGATCATTGTTCGCTTGCTTGTGGGATCTCTGTGGAAATGTTTCCTTTGTTCCACACACAAAGATTTCATCATGTTCCCTTATTCCCTGTTATATATTTTGCATGCTTTGTTCCCATATACCCATTGCAAGATATGCCTTGTTCTCCCTAGAAACCCCTGTGAACCCCCCCCCCCCACTTTGACTGGAAAAATAAGGTCTTAAAGGCACAGTTCAGCCTGTTGAACGATGGTTTTTAAGGCGCATTTCAGCCCTTTTAATTGAAAAAAACTAACTAGGAAAATCAATTAAGCATAATTCAAGATCACCAAACTTAATGTTTTTAACATTTTAAAACATTTATATTGTTAAAAACATCGAGTTTACTGATTTTGAATTATGCTTAATTGATTTTCCTAGTTAGTTTTTTCAATTAAAAGGGCTCAAATGCGCCTTAAAAACCATCGTTCAAAAGGCTGAACTGTGCCTTTAAGCTTGGTTTAAACTGTTAAAGTTTTATGTGATCACAATAGTAATTTTGCATAAGTAAATTCGACGTTTTGAAGTAATATTTCAAATGCGACTATGAGGACTGGACTAGATTTCAAGTCCGCGCAAGTTGATCACGTCCGAGGCGAAGCCGAGGATGGATAAAAATACGAGGACTTGAAATCTAGTCCAGTCCGAATGGACCTTTCCCCTTATAACTAAAATTTCGATCTAGACAAAAATTTCATCACAGCTTGAAAGAGCATCACAAAATTAGTAATATTCCAAAGTTTTGTTGCAAAATCTTGTAAAATGCGGATAATATAGCCTTGCGAAGTCTGCCGTTTTTCAGTCATTTTGTATTACAAACGGGAAATTGACATCCGATTCGGGTGTTGGGGCTGCAATTTCCCGTTTGTAATGCAAAATGACTGAAAATTGCAAACTTTGCAAGGCTATATTATCCTCATTTTACAACATTTCGCAACGAAACTTTGGAATATTGCTAATTTTGTGATGCTCTTTCAAGCTGTGATGAAATATTTGTCTAGACTTGCCTAGATCAAAATTTTGGTTATAAGGGGAAAGGTCTATCCGAATTGGAGGATTTGAAATGACATCTCATTTAATCCAATCCAAGGATTGAATCAATATACTTCACCAGGTATCCAGTGTTGTCATGTGAGCAAAATAAAGCAATATGGTTGGCTAATGTAAGAAATTCGTGAGTGAACTAACTCACTGTTCAATTTTACTGCCCGCCTTACTGGACCCTTTATCACTCTTATGGAAAACAGGTGAAGACTGGTAGAGCTTCATACACAAGAAAAGACTTAACATTCTGTATTTTAGATTGTGGCCAAGTACATCGGGAAAATGAAAGCAGGAAGAGAATATCCAAGATTGCAAGATCATTATTTGATGACACCGAACGCAGAATACATTCAATTCGGGAAGGAGTATCACCCACAGTTGAAAGTAAGAGCAAGCAAAAATGTTTAAAACAAATTTTTTTCACAAGTGCAAAATTTCGTTGCGTGTATCCTTGTATATCCATCTTCGTGAAACATGGTTAAGGTTACAGGACACCCTTTTTGGCGTTTTGCGGAAAATCGCTACTGCGCGCTCAATATCAGTCCGATTTTCATCAAATTTTCACCAAATGTTCTCCAGTGCATGCAAAATATGGTAAAGTTAATTGTGAAATTAACAAGCAATAAAATAATGTAAGAATTATTCAGGAAAATTTTAAATCGCTGTACCTTTACGCTTTTGAGTTGTGCTCCTGCTGGTTTTAAGTTATATTTATGAAAATATCATTTTTATACAGTAAAATAGTTGTTCTAAAAAATTGTGTTCGGAAATTTTTGTTTATTTCGTCATTCCGCTGATATGGCGATTTCTTTGGCGACTGCAATATATTTCTGAATTGTTTGAGTGAATTGCTCTTTATTTTCAGTTAAAATATCCAACATTAAAAAAAAGCTGAACACAATTTTGACACTGACGTATTTAGCTATGTCCTGTGAAAATTTGAGAAAAATTGGTTAAAACCCGCAGGAGCACAACTCGTTTGAAAATCAGTAATTACCGTAAAATTTTTCGTGAGAAAATTGAATTTGAATATTACATTTTCAATGTTTTTCTTATTGCAGCGAAATGTATTTTATTAAATAACTCTGCGAGTTTTCAACATTTTTCGTTCAAACTTGGTCAGATAGTAGAATTAGTCTAATGCTTTTATTGAAACCAATAAAAAAAATTTAGGCAAAATTAACACTCAAAGGTGTTCTGTAACCTTAAGAAACAATTAGGTTTCCTGGTTCCCTGCCATCAGGAAACATGGCTAGGAAACAATTTTCCTGGTTTCCCCACCTTTGGCCATTTGGGAAACACGGCTAGGAAATTATTTTTCTAGTGGTTTGCCCACAATCGGGAAACATGGCTAGGAAACAATATTACCGCAACGTTTGTCCAGACATTTATGTGATTATTTTAGCATGGCTACGAGGACTACCTCATCATACCAATGAGTGAAGTTGAAATGCACGAAAAATCCCCGAAATGTGACGTCATCGGTGTGTCATTCACAGCGTTCTCGCAACAGAGCACACACCACGGGAATGATGGTTATGGCTGCTATCAACCTCAAGGAACGTAAGTTCGAAGCAGAGCTGTTGTCTTAAAAAACACCAACAGTTTTATTAAGGTGACAGAGTCAAAACACTCTTTTATGTTTGTGACATTAGTCACGAAAACGAGGCTCTATAGCAAAGGGTGTATTCCTGCAATAGCTCTCCGAACATTGCAGCTTCCCTTTGGACACTTAGATTCCCCCTGTTGTGGACCAGGATACGAGATAGTTGTTATTGGACCTCTAGTGACAGCAGTTTAGGACTGATAGACCTTTCTTGCAATGAAATTGGATCAACAATGATCGAACCTTATTGAAGACGGTTTACAATTAATATAGCTAACCAGTATACGGCATATCAATAATATATAGCAGAAGTGAAGTTAAATTGAAGACGCGGTTTATAACTAATATAGCAAACCAGTGTATATCACTAGTATATAACAGGAGTGAAGTTAAAATAACTAAGCGGGATTTTTTGTAGATGTCTAAGAAATCAAATTCAAGATTATTTCATCGAGGACTCGGTAAGTGAAGGTTGGAAAGGGGTTGAAGAAATATTTTCAGGTGTATAACTAATAACTTTCATCTATGTACGAATACAATTAGCATTTCTATCGCACAAATTTGCATATGGCGGGATATGATCAAATACCTAGCTAATTACATACTTAGACTAGACTATATATTATTTTCATCAATCGCTTGTCTGATTCAGATGCGGCGGGAAAAAGGCGAGAGAACAAAATATTTCCCAGAAACTTACGGAAAAATAACGGGATTGAAAGAGCGTCTTGGATCCCGTGATCGTGTCGTAGAATTTGAATCTGGAGAAACGTCATCAGTTTTGGTTTATCTTGAAATTAGTGCTGATGATTTGATACTTGTTTATAACAGGTAATTTGCTACATATTCGCTAATTGATTGGTTAATTAGTATTCTAATTGTATTACAGTTGCATATTGCATACGAATTAAAGATAACTCGTTAGTTTAAATACTATTATTTTCACTAAAGGGCAGGAGGCGTGATTGTCAAAGCATTTGCAGAAGGATTTGAGTCGCAAAGTCGTAATGGTTTGGCGACGGTGGTGGTTCAAAATACTGGATTTGTTACCGCAGATTTTTATGTAAGTATAGACAATAAATAGAGAAGTTCATCCACTACCTTTCACTGACTTGGTACGCATCTGATTGGTTAATCGGATAGTTCAAATGCATTTGAATGGTTAATCGGATAGTTCAAATGCATTTGATTGGTAAATGGTCCCTTAATGGTAGCGGAAGTCAAATCTGAACTTCTCCAATACATGTTCAAAAAAGTATGTAGGCGAAACATGAGCTTTCCATCTCGGGAAAATGGGCCTTGATTTCTTTCGCCCCAGTTGGATTGAGAAGAATTCCTACAATTTGATTCTAGCTACAAAACAACGCAGACGGGTATTCCGGTTGCAGTAACATTGTAACAATAAGGGAAAAGGGATTCTCACCAGACTATTAGAGGGAACAGTTTAGAATTGGGGAATTGTGATGGAGCTTTCCAGTACAAACAGAGTTAGTTTAGTTTACAACTTACACACAATGTTAATATGCGCGCTATAGCCAATGATTTATCGACGGCATCCCTCCAAATTAGCTCTATCCTATTTTCGACCAACCAACCTCCCAGATTGAGATAGTAATATTCTATGTTTCACAGGTGAGCTTGGAATACTGTTCGAATGGTATAAATCCAGGACATGAAAAAACAGCTTCCATCAACCCGCAAACAAACCATCAATTTCAATTTACACTCGAATCTTATAGACGAGAAGGCGGAGCATTTTCATGCACTGGTATGGACTTTATAATATTTAGATTTCACACATCAATACAGTGCAGCAGGAATAATAAACATAATTATTTTCAAGTACAGGTTGACAACATTCTGTTGCACAATAAAGGAAGCCTAGCTCATTTTAAAACTTAAAATACCGTTTCCGTTTTAGCGAATCTATACGACGCGAGACGACAGTCGATTGATTCAAGTATCATCAGTGTTAATACTACCAGTACATGTGTGTGTATTTTGAGATGTGGCTGTTCTGTAAGTATTGGCTTGTCTTTGAATATCCTTTGCAAAGGTGTAGAAGGAAGGGGTATCCTTTGCAAAGGTGCGGAAGGAGGGGGGAGTATCCTTTGCAAAGGTGTAGAAGGAGGGGGTATCCTTTGCAAAGGTGCAGAAGGAGGGGGAGTATCCTTTGCAAAGGTGTAGAAGGAAGGGGTATCCTTTGCAAAGGTGCAGAAGGAGGGGGGAGTATCCTTTGCAAAGGTGTAGAAGGAGGGGGTATCCTTTGCAAAGGTGCAGAAGGAGGGGGGGGAGTATCCTTTGCAAAGGTGTAGAAGGAAGGGGTATCCTTTGCAAAGGTGTAGAAGAATGTGTACGTGTGGGAAAATTCCCTCGAGAAATTGGACTCCACGAAAAGGTTTGTATTATAGCTGTGATTAACTTTGGTTTTAGTGCACAGATCAAGAGAACTTCGTGTGTGTGAATGAATCAGATATAACATTTGACCAAGGCAAACCACCAACCTACACTGACTTTATGGACAGTATTTCCGATACTTTGGGCGTGATCTTTGAGACAGTGGGAGACGTGGCAAAAGTGGCTTTCTCAGCAGTGAAAGGTGTTTGGGAGCTGATGCCCCATCTGGACAAAGTTTGGTCCTATCTCACTTTGGTGTTTATCGTAGTTGTGCTGGTAATTATTCGAGTGTTGTGTGGTTTCCTACCTAAAGGTGTGTTTAAGCTAATGGCGAAGAAGACAATTAAAGCGATGAGAAGTCCCGACAAGCCACCGCCAGCTGCTCCGACTGTTGTAGTTATACAGAGAGAAAGTGATAGCGAAGTAGATGAAGCGAAAAGAACTCAGGAGTTTTTGTAAGTTCATTCTTTTCTTCTAATTCCCGACCGTAGAATTTTCTATGGAATAGTAAAATCTTCCGGGCAGGTTAGACAATCTCATATACTTCGAGTAGAAAAAAGTCTTTCTGCAGGTAAGGGGCGGAGCACTATATTTTGCCGCGTTTGACATCATTATAAGAAAGATCTATTGAGATATCACTACTCAACATATTTAACATAGCATTATTTCATTTCAGAGGAGTAAGTGAAGAGAGCGGGGAAAGAAGGAAGATGACAGATTTCATATTTGAATGGTTCTTTTTCTTTATCCTACCCTTCATGTTGTTATTGAAAGGACTTAAACCAATATGGCGGAAAACGCTCGGACCTTGCTTTAATGCTGGACTCGACTGCCTTGGGAAACAGGTTGCAAGCCTTTGGAACACGTTTTACGCTTCAATTAAAGAGAAGGTATCAAACAAACAGCGGAAAGAAATTGCTGAGAATGAATACGATATCTGTGAATCTGGAGACAAAAGAGGGAGTGAAAGTAGTGTAACTGGAAATCATGAAAGTGAATATGATGTTACAGGAAGGAATGCTACCGGCAACAATGTTAACGGAAGTGACGCCACCGGAAGTAATTGCAACGGTAATGTACCGGGAAATGATGTGAGAGGTATTTATGTTACAGGAAGTGGCATTGACAGAAGTAATGTTACCGTAAGTGATATGAACGAAAGTCATGTTACCGCAAGTGACGTTAGCAGAAGTGATGTTACCGGAAGTAATTTGGGGAGATTTACCGGAAGTCATGAGAGTGGAAATAGTATTACCGGAAGTGATGACGCCAGAAGCGGCATAACCATAAGTAATATTGGAGAACATGTTTATAATACCACATGCGACGATACCGGAAGTGATGTAACTGGGAGCGCTGTTACCGGAAGTTATGGTAACGAAAGTGATGTTACCGTAAGAGATGACGCTAAAAATTATGGCAGTGCTTCTGGTATCAGCCAAACATCGCGTTCCACCATCAGCGAAACGAATGACAGATTGTACCACTAGGAAAGTGATATATTAGCAAGGAATATGAGAAATTAGCTACCTAGATATATCATAAAGTAAATAATCTTTTCAAATACATGGGATTCAAACTATAATCGTGTTTTAACTTTTTTGACAACTCAACTAACTGTTATAACACTGGTTTATCCACTTTTCTTACCGGAAATCTTGACAGATTAAGCGATCATGAATATATAAAAATTCGAGAATTTCAGCTTATCACCATCACAGTTCTGACTAATGCATTACATAATAACAAAGCAACTTGAACTCTCTTCTGAAAAGATGAAAAAAATAAAAGATAAACATTAGGCCACATAAAAAAATTACTTGTTTAGCGTCCCCGCCCGACCTGATAAAAATCTCCGACCGTCAATTTTTTAATTTTTTTTTTTAAATCCGTCCGAGTTTAGTGCAAGAACTCTCTATAAAAAAGACTGTTTTACTCGAAAAAATGGTGAATTTTATTCTTCTCGGAGCTATGTATAATACGTTTACACAAAGTATTTCCTTCCTCGCAGCTAAAGTGTTCGCGCGTGACCGCCAAACAGTAATCATTTCTGTTTTATTAAAAACATGAACGGTATTAAAAAAACATGAACGGATTTTGAGTTTTGATTATGGTAATATACTGGATTTTCTGCATTTAGCAGAATTTTGTGTTGCATATATATATATATATATATATATATATATATATATATATATATATATATATATATATATATATATATATATATATATATATATATATATATGAAGGTTCCTTGTGGATCGATGGAATTTCAACAGACATAAAATGTTGTTATATTTAATATCTAAACGTTTCGCCGATCAAGGCTTCTTCAGTGGATAAAAACTTTACGGTAATATTACACACCCTACTTTTATACTGTACATCACTAATTAAAAATTCCTAGTATATATATATATAGAGAGAGAATAATACATGGGTGCGCGGAAATACCAGATTTATTTTGAGTGTTGAACATGATATCTCACGAGTGAGCGCAGCGAACGAGTGAGATATCATTTTCAACACGAGAAATTAATCTGGTATTTCCAAGCACCCATGTATTTTTCTGTTTATTATATAAAGGACAGTCTTTGAAAAGCGATAATTTTTACAGAAAAGCGATAATTGAAAGCGATAATTTTCACATGTGAGATTATCATGAATAATCTCACATGTGAGATTATCACTTTTGTCAGTGGTCGAAATCTCTATAAAGCACTATGAAACTTTATATAACAAGACGCTCGAAAGAGCGTTGACTCGCTGGGGCTAATGGGTAGACTTGGTTCAAGTCCGTCTCTCAGCGCAAGCGGTCAAAAGCTAATGGGCTGCCTATAGTGACACACTTGTCAGATCACAGTGATGGTACATTGGTACTACAATCATATGGCCAATTGAAGAGTTAATTGTGATCTGTCCCCTGTTGCAAAATTGCGGTGTCCCACCGATGTGTCAAGTTTGGCACCGCTACCTGACAGCAGACGGTTTGGGGGGAGGAGTTTGTTCCGAAACAAATGCTTCCACTGCCTATCTGAAAATTCCTTGCCCGTCTAAATCGCTGACTGAGACCGACTATCTCTGGTTTAATATGCGTCCAAGTGACCCAACAAGGAAAAAAATACCATCGTTCGAATCGGCGTACGAAATTGTACTTACGGATACCAAATTCATTACTGAACAGCAGTATTCTGACGATATATGACCTTTGAAAGTCACGCGAAATTGTATTGTTGACAAATGTCACAAATCGCTCTCAAAATTTTATATATTATTCAGCTATTTAAAAATGCAGCACGTTTGCTCCTTGATTTTCCTTGATAACTTTCCTATCGTTGGTTTTCTCCTTTTCGGCCGTATACGAATGGGTTCGTCTCACTTTTATCTTCATTTCGATATTGTTTTGATCCGAGAATTGTTTAATTTGAAGGTTTTAAGGCGAAGTTTTAACCATGCGTGTCAGCGTGTGGAACAACTGTCCGCCGACAGGAATGTAGCGAATACGATAAAATATAACCTTTACATGTAGCACAGCTTGTAGGGGGAATCGCATGAAAGTTTTATTTGTAAAGCACCGCATTTAGTTAGTACTGTGACTGGTCTACTCTGTTCTTACAAAAGCATAGTTAGCAGTCTTATATCGAGTTTATATTTCATACAATTGTTCCTGTGCATCGCCATCGGCGATCGCTGTCTCTTACTTTGTATTTCTATTTTTGTCGGGCTATAAGATGTCATTTTGACCGCTTAACTGGATTTATTTGGCATTAACACATCTCCAAATTCATTGTTCTTGTTGTTGAATCCTCAGTGCAGTAAAATGTCAGTTTTAAAAGAACGTAAACATGTTCATACTGGTTAAAATAAACAGCAGCTTTGGATTTTTTAGTAATATTTTGAATTTTTCGCAATACTTAGGGTTATTTATGGATAATTTGGGTAAAAATTGGCAGGAGCCAAATGGATAATTTAGGTAAAAATAGGTAGCTCATTAGTATTCTATTTTGTGGCTATCAATCGGAGAAAAATCAGAGCCGAAACCTATACTCGCCAGGACACAGGTGCTCCAGCGAGTAATAATTTAGAAATTAGAATTCCTACCATTTATATACGATATACTTCATGTAATTTAAACATTACAGCATTACGCCGACAGTTTCCGAATGCGTGACGATACTGTTTCTGGATATGGCACTGGGATATGATATAGATATCAAAAATTTATAAAAACATGTTTGTAGCATGAAGAAAGCACGAGATTGAAACAGTTTAAATAAAATGCAAGCTAAATAAAGAAGTTTTGACATGATACAAAACAAGACAATTTCACTTACAAGGGTGACAAGGTAATTTATAGGATTATAGTTTATTCAGTTATACTGTATAAATATATTGTGTGTTTCTCTTGTGGGTTTTTTGGAAATCAAATATTTATTATATTTTGCAATTTTAACTCGACATAAATTAATGATATTAAAGTTTAAGACATGTGTAGTGCATGCCCCTTAAGTAGAGTATATTAACTGTTTACAATATTAATTGTGGTATATAATGTAGCCATGAATGACCACATGACCCCACAAGATGAACCCCAATGACTTCAAAATAGAGAATGGATGAAAAGTTCATAAATATTGAGCTTTATATGTGAATCAAGTTAAATACAATAATTAGTTAACCTAGCTTTATATAAAATGTACATACATGTTCTAATAATTGTATTTTGCTTCATACAATGCATATGTGTGTGGAAACATTACATTATTATTTAGCTCACTCCCCACATTGGGGCTTTTCAGTGACCGATTACATCAAGTACTATAATTACTTATGTTAACCTAGACTATTTATCTTTACAACAATGAGAATATGAATTACTTTCCTAACTGTGTTTATATCCTAACCCACCCTGCCAATTTTTCCTTGTGGGAGGAAACCGGAGCAAAATATAAAATTCAATTCCTTTGAAAACACATAAATTGCAATCCCTAAAATTTAAAATTTTTTCTTAAATCGCCTTAAATCGCCTAAAATCGTATTAAATTGCAGTGCTTGAAAGTCCCAGTTTTTCCTTAAATCGCCTAAAATCGCCCAAAAATCGCATTATATCGCAGCGATTTAAGGCGATTTACTGCCCCAGAGTAGGCCTTACAATGGTATAGTGAGTTTCAATGATTGTGATTGTGATTGTGATTGTGATTGTGATTGTGATGGTAAGGGTGATCATGTGACTGTAGGTGATTGCATCCAAATATGGTGTTAGTGGTGTAGGAGCTTACAAGACAGGGGCGTTTGGCAATTAGTGATACATAAGGGATAAAAATAATGATAACACCGTGCAGGGTTTGATTTTTGTTTAAAATATATGAATATACAATAATAACTAAAACATGTACACATATAACAAAATCAAAACAGAGATTAGTAAATGAATGATACGATATGACCAATAGATAGCTATATAGCTAGTTCTGGTGTGGATTTTGCTACGTAGAGGATCCAAGTTCACATTATTTTCAGAACTCCTAAACTCTCCTTTCTTCTCCTCTACAAATTCTATATTTCCCCTTTTAAAAATCCTGCTGAAGAAGACTGTTAGGTCGAAACGCGTGTAGGGTTGCCTTTCCTACTCAATTTCAATCTCTCACTCTTATATCCTCACCTTTTATGGAGTCCCATAAAAATTTCACCTACTTTAGTTTCTACATATAATCGTAGTTTCATAGGCCTAGTTTTTTTACGTACATGTTCATCATCGGAGTCGGAGTAAAGAAATCAGTGAAGAACAACCATTTTTTGAATACCTCAGCAAAAAGAGTTAGCTGAACATCATTCACATTGTTTTTTTATCAGTTATGCGGCGTAAGCGAGATATACTATATACCGAGCCAAGGATTCGAGCTCGGCGTAAGTAATTCTCTGGCAATTCTCTTGTTGATTGCAATTAAAAATAGCCAGCGGGAGAGTCGAGAGGGACAGGGAGGCCGTGTTCACCAATCGTCATTTTGTCCCGGGACCCGTGGTTGGCTCTCGCCGGCCTTGTTTACCCCTGAAGAATTCCCAGCTCAAAACCTTTTACCCCTGAAGAATTCCAAGCTCAAAACAGTTTACTCCTGAATAATTATTCCAAACTCAAAACAATTTTCCCCTGAAGAATTCCAATTCAAAACACTTTACCCCTGAAGAATTCCAAGAGGGCACAGATATTATGGAATAGCCTATTTATACTGTGAATACCATTATATACTCAATTATATACCTGATTCGTTATTACATATCTGGTATAAAGTGTCCCTACTAAGGATATACATACATAATTCATAAACTGTATATGCGCACGAAGTCTCGCTTTAATATATTAATGAGTTTTACTGTAATAAACCTTTTAAAGTTTCCATTGATAGATAGGCCTCCAGTATCGTTTGGTAAAACAGACTATAAAACTTCTAAAATGTCGATTACAGTATACGATAAAGATTAAAGTTGA